GTAAGCTTGACTACTTTGATCAACATGCAGAGATAAGAACCATCCTCCTTGGTAGGCAGCGTCACATAGTTCATAGGTGCCTTAAGGAAAGTCAAACTAGTCTCACTAACTAGACTGGTTGGCCAGGGACTTGTAACATTCTTTTGCATCTCAAGAGTGACCTTTAGATGCTCATGTGTGGCCTGGAACTCCTCCATGCCTGCAGTGGTAGAGGGTAGAAGTAAAGTTGCAGGAGTATTTTCTTCTGGGAGGCTCACTGGAAGTCATTGCAAACAAGTTCTACAGTAAAATAACAGGTGTTCAATTACCCTGGCCACTTGAAATTTAATAGAACAGGTGTTCCTCCAAATCAAAATGTTGTCATTCAGCCATAAGTCAGGGTACTGTGATGTGGCAAAGTGTAACTGCACTTGGAGTGGTTTTTAAAAAGAGCCCTCAGGAGTCTTCTCCTGAGAATAGAGTTAAGCTTCTTGATTATGGTGCTGTGTATATGGAGCTATGTACACACACACACATACAAATGAGTGCATGTGTAACTGGTGAAATACGCATAAACCCTATGGTTTGTACCAACACCCATTTCCTGGTTTTTGTATAGTAGTGTAGTTATGAAAAATGTTCACATTGAAGGAGACTGGGTAAAGGGAACATGGGAATCTTGCTGTACATTTCTTTACAACTTCATGTGGATTTATAATTATCTCAAAATACAAAGTTTTAAATGAGGGAAGAGGGGGCTCAGTACAGGAGGACTTGATCTAAATGCACCAGGAATGGCTTTGAAGCTAGAATATCTTATGCAAAAAACAGTACCTCTGTGTCCAAAGATGTGCCTGAAGAAAAGAATGAAATGAGCTACCTTGGTTAGCATACTCAAAATGGATACAGAGGCTCTCTGTTAGCATCCAAGTGAATCACCAGCCCCTTTTCTGGAAACCAGTAGGTAAGCAGGTAAGCAAACAGGTGTGTAGTAGTAGGCCTTAGCAGTAGTCCTAGAGCTCAGGAAACTTTGAGTGCCTTATATACTTTGAAGAATACCACTTTCAAACCATGTTGGCCTTATTTTGCATCACTAACTGCAGCTTAATTTAGTCATCCAGCAATATTCACTGAACTAATGTGTCTGACACTTCTCATTCTTCTTAATGGGATATGTTTGGGAACAAAACAAAGAACCCTGTCATGGTGGAGCCCATGTTATAGCTTAGGAGAGGAGGCAGGAAGGGAAAATAAACAGTATTAGTGAATTATAGGGCATAACAAAAGGTGATAACTTTTATGGAGAGAGGGGAGAAAGCCAGATAAAGGGGACCAAGAACTCAGGAGATGATGTGGTGTAAAAAAGAGTATTGCTCACTTTTCTGAGTTCTTAAAGGATATGCTTGTATTGAAATCAATTCTTTATTTGAATTTTCTTTTCCTGCTACCAAATCCTCTATACCATCATTTCTTTCCACTCCTTCCTGATCACTGTCTTTTTCCCTCCACCTTTTATTTTAGCCTTTCTCTTTTCCATTATTTCTCTTGTATCTCTCTCTCCTTCCTTAATTACACTTCCTCCATCCATGGTTCTTACCTTTTTTACTCTTTTACTCCTGACCTTCCTTTCCTTCAACCCTCACTGTTTCTATTTTTCTTTTTCTCCCATTCTTTCTAGCCATTTTCCATTGTGTTGCTTTCTTATGGAACTTATATTCATATAATTAGTGTTCACATACCTTGTGTCCCACTGTTTATTATACTGTTTACATGATAAATGCTTCTTATTCTAACTTAAACAAAACTTTCTTCATGTAGCTAGCCTGATGTAGATAAATACCCTAGTTTCATAGGTCTGATAGATCTAGGCCCCCAATAGTGTTCACCCTTACAAATATTTCTGGAACATAGAAGAGTACATCACAAGAATGTTCACAGCAGCACTATTCATGAAAGCCCAAAACTATTAAAAAAATACCCATAAATAGTAGGATAGATAAATAAGTATTTAATGCAATACTATACAACAGAGAGAATTAACCAATGATTGCTGTATGCAATAACATGGGTCAATCTCATGATTATAACATTGAAATAACACAAACACAAAAAAGAAGAAAAATAATCTTTGATTTCACTTAGTGCAGTCCAGGTTTTAGCCAGGTATGGTGACATACACCTGTAATCTCAATGCTTGGGGAAACAAGATAGGAGGATTGTGCATTTGAGGTGAGACTAGGCTACCTGGTGAGATATTTCAGGAAAAAAAAAGGAGGTTTTAGAAATCAGGACAGCTATTACCCTTGGGGAAGTTACTAGAAAGTAGTATGGGCGGGGGGGTCTTCTGGGTGCTGTTAGGTTCTGCTTGTTCATCAGAGAGTGGGCTAATTGATGTGATTGTTTTATGAAGCTGCTTCAAGCAGTGCATTATATATATTGTACATATATGTATATTGTACCTGAACAAAAAGTTTGGTTAAAATAATGAAAACCATTGTACAAAATAATCTGGACATGTTTTGGTAACAATTACAAGAGTTAACTGAGAGATTTGTGAGTGACATTGTTTATTACATCAATAAATCTATATAAAGAAATTACATACAGATGAGTGGAAGTGGAATTACAAAGAATATATCAAAATGGTGACTAATAAAAGTAATGGCAAACTTGGACTGTAAGATTTTTTATTATATTTAATAGTTTTTCTCAGAAATGACACACCTGAGTAGTATAAAAGGCAACTTTAGAGCCAGGCATGATGGTACATGCTTGTAATCCCAGCGTGTCAGAAGCTAAGCAGGAAGATCTTGAGTTCAAGGCCAACCTGGGCTACATAATGAGACCTGTATAAAAAAAAATAATAAAAAGGCAACTTTACATTTATTAAATAATATATGCAAATATTTCCAAGTTTATAGGATTTGATTTTTTGAAATTCATATACAATAACAAATCTTATTGATCAGTTAAAAAATATAAAAGATAACTTTAATTTCAAGTAAAATTTCCATAGATAATACAGAATTAAAAGTATTCTTACTATTCACAAAATGCTTAGAAGAGACAATATTCCTAGTGTGCTTCTGAGACATGTCAGACTGTAGTCTTCTATAGTCATAAATAGACCCAAGATTTTACAAAACTAGCCTTATTGTAAAATGGAACTTTGGTATTTTCTTCATATGAGCAGTGCATATTTCCTCTATTGAACAGAGGTATTCATCCATTTTCTGAAAGACTATTATTCATTCTTGAGAGATAGGGTTTTTTTGCCATTATTACCAGGTTCATGATGGAAATGAGATAGCATTATAATCCTAGCTGTGCTGTGATTAGATATAACCAGAATTCAGGGTCAACTAATTTGATGTAGTCACTGATCACTTTCCTTCAGGAAGAGGCACATAGTTTCTGATTGTGTTTTAAAAGAAACCAGAGATAAGACATTGTACCTGTGGCTCACCAAGTACATTTGGGAATTTCACACATCTGTGTCAATGGGACATATAGTTCTCAATCAAGCAAGACATCGTCTCAACTGGGGACCTGAGTATTATTTTTCTCTAGAAATAAAGAACAATTTCACTCCAGCATGAAACACATGGGAATGTGGCATAAGACAAAGCCTATATATTATACATAATGCCTAGAAATTGTTGGCACTCAGAAAGGATTAAGTAAAATAAAAATACATAAATTTTTCTGGCTTAAGATATGGATTTTTAAAAAGTATCTATTTCCAATGTGCATATTCCAACCAGTTTTCATATTATGTTCATTTGCTTTGTCTTTAGAAACTCATTTAAACTCATTTATTTTTATTTTTAATTTATTTTTAATTGTGTTGGGTGGAGGTACATAGAAACCCATTTTAAATAAGACTACTATAGATAATTTATATTTTAGATTTTTTTGGAAAGTAGTCAGAATTCAGTTAAAGAATACTTATTTTACATGCTGCTAAATATTTAAGGAAAAATATAAATCAAAATTATTTTTTTACCAAAATAGCAGTTTTCATGTTAGTTTTTGTTTGTTTGTTTTTTTGAGATAGGGTTTCCTATGCAGCTCAGGCTGGCCTTGAACTCACAATCTTCCTATCTCAGCCTCTCAAGTGCTAGGATTACTCATGGGTTCCACTATGCCTCAGCTTTCTTGTTAGATTATAAATAGACCAGACGTATATTTACCTCCACACAATCATCATTTTTATAGACTAAGATAAATTAAAACTGCATTTTAAAGCGGAGATATTCTGTCATATATTTTCTTTTCATTATAATCTGATTTGTTATCATAGCAAAAATGATTTATATAAACCATGAAAATCTCCCTTACTATTTCACTTGTCTGCATCAAGATTTTTAAAACATATCATCCCAGTTTTGTAGCTTTTAAATGAACCGTTTCCAGCATCAAAAAAAATCCTGAATTCTGGTTACACATCTGCTTACACTTCATTAAGTACTAACCAAACTTGTGTTTTAAAAACTTAGACTTATTTACCAAAGTGAGCATTAATAATTGCATTTCACTGTTTACTGAATGTGATCTTATTCTGTGATTAGTGCAATTCATGAATGTCAAGGTCAATCAAAATTGATCTTTCTTTAGTATTAGTCCTTCCTGGCTCACCTGCCCACAGAAGTTATTGGGTCAACACAGAGCTAAATAAACACCCTTGTGAACACTGTTAGCAAATCTGTCATGAGGGATCAACAGCATCTTATAACATCAGCAGATCCTGGACATTGCTAATTCATCTGAATAATTCTCTTCACCATAGTGCACATTTTAGAGGTAAGCTGTTTGTTTTATAAATAAACCATAGAAACAATCTTAATCCTTCTCATTTAATGGGTAAGAGGTTAAAAATTCTCAGATTTAAAAATGTAACAAAATGAATGAGTGTTTAAGTCCAAAGAAATAGTCAATGCAGAAAATGTTTGCATAGAATGACGGTGGTGGGTAAAATCTGTCTTGCAGTCCTTGCTTACAGTGACCTCCTGAGCCCACTTTCAAGAAGCAAGTCTACGCATAGCCTGTGGAAGCAAAGGACAAACAAATGTTGAGGCAACTGAATATGTTTTTATAGTATTGGTTGGTCAATTTTACTCATCTTGGATATATAGCAGCACAATAAAAGTAGGGTAAAGATTTAATTTTGACCCTTATCATACTTTAATTGAATTTATATCAAAGCAACAGTTCCTATTCATTGAGCACTTACTATACTCAAAACACTGTTCTCCTGGCCTCGCATGCATCCTTTAGTTTTAACAATTCTGGTTTTATTGCTTTTGTCTTACATGCAAACACTAAAGTGAAGACTGGGATAGTAATTTGCTCTGGACTGTAAAGCCAGTAAGTAGCAGTATGAAGACTGCTCCACCCCTCCCCCATTCTGTGTGGTTTCAAAGCCTATGCCCTTGAAACCTGTGCAGACTGCTTCATCACCTGTAGAAGCCCTACCTGAATGATCCCCTTATGTGGCAATCAAGACATATCTTTTTAATATGGCAGCCTTTGAAGTTCCAATTTTGATATATAAGTTTTTACTCAAATTAAGCCTGCCCTATATCCAGAGTCATAAATTACTAAAGCCGGAAGTACATCTCAGCTTAATAATGACTTTCCTAGGTTCAGTAAGCTATAGGGCCTGTGATTTTTCAGTCCATCAATGTCTTTCTTCTACAAAATTCTCTGTCATCCTTACTGCCTGATTTGACTGCAGGGGCTTGAATATTAATTCTTTTCAACATTTTATCAGTAACTGGAAAAGGTCAGAGAAGCATGCTTTTCAGATTTGCCTATAGTACAGGTTGGATTGGGTTCAAAATATGAAAATATGTCAATAAACTGGAAACAACAATATGCAGTCTAGCAGAAATATATGTAGTCTTGCATTTTTGTTTTAAAAATTACATAAATACAAGTGGGAGCTCAGGGAGACCATGATCTGTGTGAAAATGTCCATATTGAACAGTTGACACCTGTTCAATATGGGCCAAGATTTTGATGTAGCTAGGGTGAAAACAAACACATTTTTAAGTTACAGTAATAAAAATATCTAGATGAGATCAAGGCAGTCATTTTTGCATAGTCTTCATGTTGGCCTGACCATCTTTGGGGTTTTGTGTCTCCTTCTTGGCCAGTGAAACATTGACTAACTGCATGTCTATGAGGAATAGTAGGAGTTGGGTCTGTCACTCCTAGAGGAGTGTCTGGTGGAGACATGAGATCTAGTCTCCAATAGTTGAAAGGCTCTTCAGTAAGAAGATCTGTATTGCTAGGAGAGCCATCTCAGTCTACTGGATAGTTATTACAGAAAGACCCAATCAGTTTTGTAAGCACAACAAACATTTAGGGACTTCCATCCATATAATAAGAGTCCCTGCAGAAGTCACTAGTGCCATTGTCTGGACATGGTCATACAAAAGCTAAGTGAACCTACACAGTGATGGCATAGGAGGGATTTCTGCATGGGCTTGGACTACTTGATTTCTAAGAAATCTTTCAACTTTAAAATTCTGTGATCTTCCATTGTTGTTTCCCATTGTGCTTGGGTGGAGCCACAAAGTTTACTCAGATACTACAAGTTCAATTAAGTTTCCTAGGAATAGTTAGATGCCACAAGAACATCTGAGACACCAGAATCAGCCATAGGTAGAGGTAGTGTCTGTATTAAGCCATTATCAATCACATGAAGAAAGGTCATAAGGTTCCTGTTCCTCACATGCTATTCCAAAAGCTTATGGAATTCCTATATTAGAAATTCTCTCTTTTCCTATCCCATGACCTTAGATCTCTAGAAAAAAAAGTATGCATAAAATCAGGACCAGTGTGATCAGCCAGCAGTTGATCATTACTGTATGTCTGAGTCAAAAGATCCCCAAGTACTTAATGTCTTCATGGGAGATTTATTTTCCATTTTGCCTTCCTATGAAGTCTTCCTTTCAGTATTGTTTTTTATTTTCCTTGAATAGTTCTAATCAGACACATTCACTGCCTGTATTACCCAGTTTACTCAAGATTTAGTACAAATTCTTCAGGAGAACATAATGATCATACCTCATCCTGGACATCAAGTTCTTCATCAGCCAGCTCTTTTTCCATCAATTCAAGAGGATCCTTACAGTCTTGAATGAGGTTGATCTTGACAAAGAGAACACATGGTATTTATTAGAAATATAAATAGCATCAGTCTACCTAATACTCCACTGAAAGTGGTGTATTTTACTGGCACTCCTCATCTGTAAACTACAGGCTTCAGAATCCTCTTCAGATTTCTCATTCTTCTATGTTTCCTACCTTAGAATTTTTCCTGCACCATTTTTCTCTTTCAAGTATGAGCTCGTGTAGTTCCCCATTGTCTAAACTCCCTTACAGCTTTCTTCTCCAACCTTTGAAGGGTAAGCCTCTTCACAAGACACCTCTATGCCTAAATAACTGAGCAGTCAATAGTGCTTCTCTTTTGATGGCTATGCTAAGAACACTTCGTTCAACACTAAGAATGCAGGGATCATGCAGTGAAGGGCTGTGACTGAGGAAGTATATACTCCCAATTTAAATTGGATGGAAATTAATTTTATTGAAGGCAGAAATCAACATCTATAGATCAAGTTGGCTGTTCAGGAAAGTTCTGCTTTTTAGGAGTAGTATGTAATTTGATCTGCACAAGATACCAACAACAATTTGGCTTTGTCTTATGCAGGAGGAAGGGCATTTCTAAAGGAAGTTGAAAATACCAAGACTAGAATAATGAGATTTTAGTTCTGGTTTTATTTTTTATTTTTGGCAGTATGAGGGTTTGAACTCAGAGCCTCACACTTGTTAGGCAGGTGCTCTATACTTCAGCCTTACCTCCAACCCTTTTTGCTTTAGCTACTTTTCAAATAGGGTCTCAGAGTTTTGCCCAGGCCAGCCTGAACTTCAGTTCTCCTATTTATGCCTCCCAAGTAGCTGGTGTGCTCCATGCCCAGCTTATTGGTTGAGATGGGGGTCTCACTAACTTTTTGCCCATGCTGGCCTCAAATCATGATCCTCTTGATCTCTGACTCCCAAGTAGCTGAGATTACAGATGTTATCCGCTGCACCCTGCTAAAATGATGTTTAGGTGTGCTATTTCTTTATTTTTTCATTCCATAAATAACCCAGTTCTCTTCATTAGTGTGGAAATTAATTAGAGGATTAAGTCTCTGTGGAAATGGTCATGAAACAATGGGAAAGATAGAGTTTAGGTGTAACTACAGGTTGGGACTGTCCTGGGATAGTCCTTGTGCCAGTAAAATAAAGAGACAGCAAGAGATTCATATCACTGCATCTACAATCTCCTTAATACACTAGTGACTCTTCCTAAAGAAAAGGAAAATACCACAGGTAAGGTCAGTCATCATTTACCACAATCTACCACACATAAGGCTTTGTGCTAGAACCTGAGGAGACATAAAATCTCACAATCCACCAGTAATGTTCAGCCCAATCTGCAGTGAATCAGAAATATACAATGCAAGCTTTCAGTTATACTCCAGCCAACATATTCAGGGTAAAAAAAGCATCCATCCCAGTCCCTCACAATGCCTCCCTGATTGTGAATATGATGACGTTACAGTGCGCTCTTAGCTACCCAGTTTCATGACATTCATGGTGGAAGATCTTATATCAGAATGGGTGTCAGCAAAAAATAAAATAACTATTTCATGAACTTGATACCTTGGGTTTATTTTACTTTTAATATGGGGTCTTTTTTTTTTTAGATATATACTGCTTTGTTTTTACCTATGGGTTAAAAACTTTTTAAATTATATAGAAAAAAGGTTGTGGGTTTTCAACAATGAGCAGTTTACATGTAGCTTTTTATAAAAAGTAATTGTGGTTTTAGTGCTTTTTTTTTCCTTTTTTGAATTGAAGATGGACACTTTAATACTTAGGGTTACTCACCCCAGGAAAAACTTCTCTACTCAGAAGCAAAATGAATAATGTAATACTTTATAAATTAGTTTTACTTCAAATGTCAGCTTCCAATCTATGACAAATATCTACTTATTCTAATTTTAGGAAAATCAGAAGCAATTTAAAATTCATTATGTCACTAGAATCATAATTACTATATTTTTATAGGGATTTGTTTTATTTTCCAAAATTCACTAAGAAAGGGTCATGAGAAATAGGTTTCTTGCTCCAGGCCTACCAATAGACTCAGGTAATTAGCCAGACCAAAGTGTTCACTTCGCCTGGATATTTGACAGAAGAATTGACATATTAAGACCTATAGGAAGTTAAGGTATATTCTATCTTGTGGAAGAAATTAACCCTGAGCTTACCTGTGGCTTTGATTTTTTTTTTCTTTATCAAAGATTACTTTTGGCCTAATAGAGCCTCTTAAGACATTTATAACTCAGGGGTTACTATATTGCTACAGTTTATGCTGCATTTATATACACAAATTACAGAAATTTCAAGATTCAGTGCTGTTCTAAAGAGGCATTATAGCTGATGGCCATTTTTATCAGTTAACCTATACACATTGCAGAACTATTACGGAACTAGGCACTACCACATACTTTCCTACAAACTGTCTTATTTTAGTCCCCACATCTTCCTAGCAAGGTAAAGTGGTTTTTTTCCCCATTTCACTGATGAGAAACTGAGGCTCTGAGAAGTTATATAAATGGCATAAATTCAACAGGCTGGGTTTCAAATGAGACTTGTGTAACTTTCACCATTTATATAACAATAATCATTGCCATTTAGGAAAGATAGAGATATAGAAAAGTTTTAATTTTTTCTATATATTTACCGTTTCTAAAAGGGAATCTTGACTCTCCCGGGATTTAACCTGGTTCTGTAGATAGAGTATAGCATCATGAACGGTCAAAAAGAATGTGTCCTTCCTAATGTTATCATCAAAAAACCCACATCGCTCCATCTTTTCTATCACATGATCTGCAAAAGAAAGATGTTTAGTTATTTTCTAGGGAAAGTTATTTCTGTAATATCAACGCTAAGTTTTTGGTAGCTCCTTTTAATTTTTCTTTACATTTCTAAAATGTGACCCTGTTTTAAACTGACTGAGTTTCTTTTCCAGAAGCACACAGAATGGTTATCCTACAACTGCTTATGGAAGGCCTTGATGCACAACCATGTCCCTTTTGCCAAGCCAGTGTCCCCATCCCCAAACAGCTGTGAGACTGGTTGCTAATGGTTCACAGTTATGCCCTTTTCTGGAGAATTTCCTTGACCAGTGGGAGCTATCTTGCCTGAAGAGACCTAGGAGGGCTACCCTACCTCCACACACATTCACAGGTGGCCTGTAACCACTGACTGACTATAATGGAATACAAAGTTGAGGCCCCCTTGCTTAAGATGGCATAACTCTCCTGGTTCTCTTCCTGCTGCAGACCTCCTTTGCAATCCAGAATCTAAGACTAGCCTCCTGAAACTACTTGTTTCACCAGCTTCTCCTCCTGCCCTCTCCTGCTTTCCTCACCCCTTCAATCACTTGCCCAAGAATGTCCTCATCTCAGCCTCTGCTTCTAGAGAACTTGGCCCAGCACTTCCTCCACACAGAGACTCACATGCCTTCCAATCCTCCTGTTCCAAGGGATCTACATCATCCCCAGCTCTGGTCTCCCCATAACAATGTCCCTTCACTTAGTTGTGCACCACTGTGTGGACATAAGTTCCTACACATTACAAGCTCTGTGGCACAAATTGGAGGTAATTATATTTCTAAGTTAAAAAAATGTCTCCCCAGAGTTATTGTTTAATTGGAACAGAGTTGTATGTGGAATGAAAAATGTTGGAAATAGTGGGTGATGACTGTACAACATTGTGAATATAGTTCATGCTACTGGGTTAATTATAATTATAATTAAAAGTAATGAAAATGGCAAGTTCTGTTATACATTCTTCACCATAATATTAAATAGTTTTTTTAAAGGCCTTCAGACATTATGTACCTACATTCCAAGGTACATTCCAAGCTTAGGGGAAAATCTTACAGATGTGCACACATATGCATTTACCTTGAAGCAATGCAAAGTACACATTCACATCAATTCTTTGAAATTCTTTGACCACCTAAAAATTAAGAAAAGGAGAATTAGTGACAAGAATAACTTGATCTGCCCATAATTCAGTTGTATTCAGTTACCTGCTAAGAAGCATCAACACTTGGTGGTTAATGGAAACTTTGAGGAAACTCCATTATTGGAAAAACAACAGAGACTTTCAATCTACAGTGATGGTAAATGTAATTTACTTCAAGAGATTGCAAGCCAGGCATGGTGGCTCATGCCTGTAATCCCAGCACTCAGGAGGCTGAGGCAGGAGGATCAAGAGTTTGAGATCAGGGTGGGTTACATAGTAAGACTCTGACTCAAAAAAAGACAGAGAGAGAGAAAACAGAGAAAGAGAAATAGACAGACAGACAGACACAGTCAGTGCCCAGTAACATAGCACTCTATAACACAGAGGTGCTCAATTAATCTTTGTGGAAGGAAAGAAGGCAGTACAAAGGCTTCCAAACAGTACCTGATGATTTGAATGAAAAGCACAAGTTTCTGTCTGCCTGTATATTCACAATGTAAAAGCTGACCTACACATCAAGGTCTTTATTTTGAATATATCAATGTCAGTAAGCTAATTGTAATTTTGTACTATAGTGTGGTACTGGGGCTTGAACTCAGGGCCTCATGCTTACTATTCAGGCACTCTACCACTTGAACCACTCCACCAGTCCTTTTTTGTGTTGGGTATTTTTGAGACAGGGTCTCATGAACTATTTGTCTAGTACTGGCTTCAAACCTTGATCCTCCTGATCTCTGTCTACTTAGTAGCTGATATTACAGGAGTGAGCCACTGGTACCCAGCTGTACTATAGTTTTATAAGATGTTACTACTAAGAGAAACTGGGAAAGAGGTGTGGAGGATTTCTCTAATATTTCTTACAACTACATGTGAATTTACAATGATCGTTAGAAGTTTAATTTTTAAAAATCAAGACACTAGGCCTATGGACAATAATAATTGTTATTATAATATTTGAAAGCAACTACATAGTGTGGGAAATTCTGGTATTAAATATATTAGGACTCTCTCCAAAGGTAATTCATTAAACCCTCTGGCCAAATAAATAACCTACAGTAGACTCAATGCCTAGAGTGAAATGGACAACAAAGAACAAGAGAATGTTGTCAAATGAGCTCATAACCAGACCTGCTAGGAGAAAAAAAACCTCTCAGCATGTTCTCACACTCTTTTGCCAAGGATAGTCACTTCCCTACCTTACTTGCCTAGCACCCACACCCTGGTGTCATTTTCTGCCCTTCCAAGGTAGCCAATAAGCCCCTAGCTAAGCTAAACCTCAGTGAGGAATCTGTTTCATATTATCTGATTATTCACACCTTAGCCAGCTTACCTGTCTGCCTGACCCTCTTGGTACCGAACTTGACACTTCGGTTAACACCCTAGATAAGGTCTACTATGACCCACGTACTATGGTTGTTATTTATAAGATTTACATATGTTTAGTCTCACGAGGGTGGAGATTATGACTACTTCATCACTGGTCTCTTGTTCCTGGCAGGATGATTAGCATGTGTTAGGCATTGAATGAATGAACCTGCAGTTGCCTAACTGCTTTCTGATATCACGGATGTTTCAATGCTGCATGCTCAACTCTTGCCCCAACTTCCTACATGCCTGACAGGCTGCCTGCTCTAACCTCTTAGTAACACCTGGCTTTTCTAGTCCTACCCTTACTGCTGTTCATACCTGGTATTCCTTATCCTGGTACTGAGAATAACACTTAACACAAACTTTTACCTATTTTTCCTTTTCATGTTTCATTTACATGCTCAGGAAAATAAAAGTGTTACTATTTGGAATAATATTGGTGTGATATTTATGTACTATTTATAATAATAGTGTAATATTTGGAATGTCTATGTGACAGAAACTCTTCTAAACTCCTTATATTTGTAGCTTATTTAATCTTCTATGAAGTAAATACCATCATTACCCCTATATAACAAAATGAAGAAATTGAGGCAAATTAAGCCACTTGGTCACACTACTAGTAAGTGGTGGAGCCAGGATTCACCTCAGGTCATCTGGTTCTGGAGCTTATGCTTTTAAACCATCACACTCTATTACAAAGTATTCACCTGGAAGAATTACAGAGTCCATGCATTTGCTCCTTCGCAAAACTGGGCAACCTGTCATTTTACTATTGCCAAAGCTTCAAATTTATAGTTCAAAAAACCAGGACCTTACCATTCGCAATGACTTCACTCCAACAACATCCAGGAAAGATATAGCTCCACAATCAAGCACAAGGCTATGGATTGGCACCTTGGGAACATTCACTTTGACTGGAAGCTCAGAGTTCCAATCCACACGAATCTCAATTTCCTTGGTGGGGATATCAAGTTCCTCTGGCTCTTCGATATCTTCATCAGGTTCGAAAGCATTATTTGTTGAACCAGCATCACTTATGACACCATTCTAAACAGAGAAAAGACAGCCAACTTAATTACCAATGACTTGAACTGTCTTTCAACTATTCATCTCAAATTTTTAAATTCCTACACACATTATTCCTTGGTAAGCAAAAATATCAAGGAGGTGAACTTTTAAGAAATGAGTTTTACCTCAGTCCAAACTTTGATGTTCTTTAGGAAGAAAAAAAATGGAAGAACAAGATGCCAAGAAGCTCTCAATTTCTGGAAGATTCTGGAATTTTGTCAAGAGATATGTTGGCAGGAGAATCTGAGTAAAATTTAATAGCTCTAAAAGTTTATGAACTTACTGCCTTCTGCTGTAATTTTCTGGAATTGAATTTATACTTATTTTGTTCCTTTCAGTAAAAATAAGGTTAAAAAAAATAATGTAGCTGCCGTTCAGGAAGAAAAAAAATATCACACCCTGTGCTTCCAGGGAGCTCTGCTGATTGCATTTTATTCCATCCGTTCCCTCTTGCCTGCAAGAACAGCTCAGCCGTTCTCTGACAAACATATGTCATCCACTAATACACATCTGGATACCAAAGGGACAGATTTAATTTTAGACCATCTAACTGCTTTCATCAGAGAAAGCAAAAGAACTCAAAGGAGAACAAAGCTGTCACCTCACCTTTGTTGCCCTTAATTGTCCTTTCTTGATGAGTTTCTGAATTCTTCTCAGTGCTTTCAGCCTCTTATTATATACTCTGATGGCATCAAATCCCACCTTTGAAAATAAATGTAAGTTACTTATACTGTCTGTTCCTAATGTTCATCAATGAAAGCTGTTATCTGAATGGTCATTTCCCAAAAGAAACTATTCCTTGAGACATCCTGCCAATAAAGAAATTGTGAGGTCTGATGAAATCCATACCTGTTCAGGAGCAGGCCACCCTAGCCACACCAGAGACTCTGGGAAGAAGGTAGCATATTAAAGACTCCAAGAGAGTAAAAATGATAAAACATCAAAAATAACCCCTTTAAGCTTTACATCTGTGTTTTCCAAATTTCCTTGGTATCACAGAGCCCGTTGGTTACTGAAAAATCTATGAAGGTTCCTCTACACCAGTTTGCCCTGGAGCAAGGGAAAAGCACTGATGCAGAGGCAAAACCCAAGTTCCTAAGGAGCCTGGCATGCAAGAGCAGGTCTTCCCACTCACATCCTCCACTCACTTGTCATTGCACTCCAGCGGGCCACACTGTCCCCTCACACCTGCCCCACTAGACTTCCCTACCCCTCACTGTCCAACTAACATAGATCTCTCCCTTCTGGGACTTGTCTTTTTCTCATAGTTAAAAACAATTTGTTAATTTAAAATAACTGAAATCCAATACATGTTAACAAAAATACATGCTTTCCCAAGGAACAGTAGAGAGCAGTTGTAGGCCTACTGTCTGGCTTCACAAAAGGCACTGTGTCCTCCCTGCACACTGTCTCTGGTCAAACTCCACAACCCCAAACAACCTCAGTGGCTGACCCAGGGCAACTTTGCCCCTGGGTGGTGACAGCTGCTGCTAGGGCCACAACTCCTTGGTGCCCCTGTACCCCGGAATCTTCCCCCAAGTTTGGGCAGCTTTGTCACCCCACTCTCCACCCCACTCACCTGCTGCACCCCTAAACACTGAACTCAGATGTCTATACATTTTTGTAACTTAAAATTCATCTCTAGTGTTTTTGTCTGGCAGCTATTGTTACTTGGATTTTAACATGTCAGTTAAAATCCCAATAGATTATAAATCTATATATAAGGCAGGAATGTTATGATATAGTTCTTTTGGGGGAGGGGACCAGAGTTTGAACTCAGGGCTTCGTGCTTACAAAGCAGGAACTTTACAGCTTGATCCACACTTCCAGTACATTTTGCATTGGATATTTTGGAGATGGGATCTCATGAAAACTTTACTTGAGCTAGCCTCAAACCTAGATCCTCCCAATCTCAGCCTCCCAAGTATCTAGGATTACAGATGTGAGCCACCAGTGCCTGGCTATGATATAGTTCTTAATGACCTGCACAAAGAGAACAGAGCATAGTGCCTTATTTCTAGTTGAAGCCCAATAAACAAATGAATGCCATCTCAAAAGTAAGTTGGAAACCAAATTTCCAGACATAAAATACTTACTGTGGACTTGATACATTTTTTGAAACCATCGACATTGCCATAAAAAATAGGACTAGAAAATCTAAGAATCTTCACTCCTTCAGGTTCTACAATCTGTCATTTAAAAAAAAATGAAGTTAAACAATTAAAGATCCCAAATATTCAATTAAGTTTCTGGCTATTCTGCAAGGAGTGGGGGGTCACAGTTGTTGAGAATTGCTGGGTGGCAGCATTCAACTTTCCTGGAATTGGGGCTATATCCCAGTTAGGGGAGAGGTGAGGCAAGAGAGGATGCCAAAACTCAGACTTCCATAGTTGAATAGAAGGCCTGAGAAAGCAATTATTCAACCTTCTGATTGCCAGATAAAGAAAATGAGGCCCAAAATGGTGGCCTCATTTCACTGACCCTCTTGGTTTAGCTACAAATTTATGAGGTACCAAAAAAAACAAGGGGACCAAGAGGTTTTTTAGGAACTGAGGCCTATGACATCTTCTGTTGTTTATATCCTGACACACAAGGCCACACTGAAAGTAGAGTTATAGAGTCATAGAATCATAGACTTTTCTAGTCTTTAAGAATCCTTGCAGTTTTAGTCTAACCCCTTTAGATGAGAAAACTGAGGCCCTAAGAGGCTGTGTGACTTGGGCAAAGTCTCATCAAGACATAGACTAGAATTCAGAATTCCCAACTCAGCCTAGGGCTCCCTGCCCCACAGCCAAAAATTCTCTCAAGTTCATTTTGAGCTCTTGATGGCACTTGGCTAGCATAACAGAAAGACTGTGGAAATAAACAAAGTAGCAGCTGCTGGAATTCTAGGCTCAGTGTACAATAATTTTTAATATTAAGGTAAAATCATAACCATAACTTCCTGGGCTCACATTTTTAAAATGTTTTTATATTATTTTTATTATATATACTTGTATTTATTTAGTTATTTATTTTGCTGAATTTATGTTTTCTTTATTTACTTTATTTGCTTTTTCATCTTTAATTTCCCTAGTGGTCACTAATCAATTTTATTTGTGGGCAAAACAAGTTCACAAATGTTTAATTTCTTTGTTTTCCACTTCCTGTATCATATATTATTTCTTCCAATTCCAAGAATAAAGTGATCCCACTTTATTCTTTATTCAAATAATGTCTTGGTGACAGAAAACCTTGAAAATCCTCTCCCTTTTTTTTGTGTGGTGCTGGGATTAGAACTCAGGGCCTTGAGCTTGCTAGACAGGCAATCTACCTCTTGAGCCACTCAACCAGCTCTTAGAATCTCTTGTTAGAACTGAATGAAGAAAATCTTACAGGGAGTTCAGCCAAATTCATAGAAGGTAAGGATTACATAGCAGAGAAATATGATTTTGACTTCATGTCTGGAAACAATCTATTATTTTTTAAATCCCTCTTATGATTCCTACATTAGAATGATACTTTTTTTTACTTTTTACTTTTATTTTGGTGGAACTGGGGTTTGAATTTGAAGCTTAGAATGACACTTATGTCAGAAGGTACATCGTGTCAACAGTTCTCATGATCCCAGTGAATTAGTAGACTTTCCCACAAATGTCTTCTGGGCTACCTTGTGCCTAACAGGCTGAGAGACAGAAATACATGACTGCTCAAATTCCAGGCTAGCAAACCCTCATTTAGTCAGTGAGTGTCTCACAAAGGCACTTACATTTTTGTAAATCTTGGTACTTTTGTAGATGTCTGTGCTAGTGATGCTTCCAAGGCTATTCCATGAGGGACTACAAGAAGAAAAATTAATATTAGGATTTTTTTTCTTGGAACAGCCGTATTTTAGACTAAAAAGTTAAAAAGAAATAATAGCAACTAAAGAGCCCATCATTCTGGTGTTTGGACTCTGTCTTTATTACAAGTGACATTTTCCTGTATCTAACTCTGAAATGAACAGCTGGTGTTTGCGTGGAACTGGAGGAGAAGGAGGAACTAACTGTGACTCTTTGATGGCTGAGAGAAACAGTGAGCATCATACTTTCATGTGCATAACAATTTATAGGATAAACAAAGAACTTTCTCATATGTTAAATCTTATACAGCCCTCCCATCACCCTGAAAGGTCAGCAGTATGATCCTTACTTTTATGAGGTTCAGGCCAATTAGACCTATGGCACTTACTTGTCACTTCTTGCAACTTCCTGATGAAGTCAGGAAAATCTGTAAGTGATCAAATTAGTCTCTTTTTATAGAAAAAGCAGCCTGGGAGGACCAGAAATAAGTCCTTCCTGTCAACCAGACTGTTGATTTCATGTTCCTGGTGCAATCAGATAAATTCCATGTTTCTTCAAGTGTGACTAAGGACATATGCTAAATGCAGCTCCTGAAGAAAGACTATCTGTTTGGGGTCCTTTCAGCATTGTGCTTTCAGGATCAGCATTATAATCACTGGAAATTAAATACTGTGGAGGATGCTGCTTTTTTGTTGGCTAAAAGCCTGGTTACCAAACCGGCAACTAAAATGTGCCACTAACTTTTCCTTGGCTTGCTGACTTTTAACTTAGAGCTCATAAGCTCATCTTTCTCTCCCACACTCTTCCCCCTCAACCAGACTAAGAAAAGAAAGAACAGAGACTGAGGCACATTCAGCACAAGAGGCAGCATCTCCTAAGGACAGTTTCTGAGTTATTTCCTAGCAGCCAACAGGGCACTTTGGGAGCTCATGAGCTCTTTCCAGACCCTGGGCATCTGGGGTGGTGACACAGAAAACCACTGGCCTTTTGGGTAGGTGTCAACATGATAGAGTAGGAAGGAAGGGCAAGGAGAGCTGATTGGTGGAACGGGAGGGGCGAGCCTATGCTAAACTGAAGTTATCTATGCTAATGGTCTTCCAGTTTTCTCCTTCCTCACCACCTAAGCACAGGCAGAGAAGAGGCCAGAGGTGCAGAAAGATAATGGAAGAACTAAGGAGGGAGAGAGGTTCTGGTCCCTAGTAGGCCCAGGAGGGTGCATAACCAAAGTCTCTCAGAAATCAAAGCAAACCCAACACTACCAGATTGTTTTCCATTATTTAACTCATGTCTTTGCTGCTTTCACTCTGCGTATGAATTAATTATGTTTACGTCCCATTATTGAGTGGTTTATTAATCATATACCTTATTTGACAGATTGGAATAAATCTGCCATAAACCTTATTTGACAGATTGGAACTCTTAAAAGAGTTGTAAAACTTTTAAGAGTTGTAGAACTTCTGGGTTATTAGCTCCAAAAGAGGAAAATGAGCTATGATATACTTAGCAGTTGTTTTGTCCTAAGCCTTGGGTCCAATTTTTCATATACTTCATCTCATTTATAGAAGAAATTACAAAGCAAGCTCAGTCTATGGCCAGACCACATTATCTATTAGTCTTGCCATGGCTAAGGAGAGCACAGCAGTGGAATATGTGACTAAGTGCACAGATTTTGGACTAAGTTGTATCTGTGTTCAAATCTTAGCTCTACCTATTAGTAACAGTGTGAGCTGAGGAAAAGTCCTTGCCTTTCTGATCTTCAGTTTTCTTCCCTATAGAATGAGATGATTCAAACCTATTCATGGGATATTTTGAAGATTAAATATTATAATATTTGTAAAGCATGAGGTGCTTAACTTATAAAATTGCTCAATATATAGTAACTATTATGAAAGGAAGTAGTTTCACTATATTTATCAAAACAGCATAGGAAAATTCAGGATGTATTGTCCTGTTCATAGGAAATCTGAGTTTTATAGTACTTACAACTGGACTCTCAGGACCACAGTCAATAGTCCAAATATAAGGCCAGCCAGTAAGCCCAGATCCAGTCCCAGAATGATGGACATTACACACGTGAACACCCAGATAACCTAGGGGGAAATGGAAACAAAAAGAATTATGTTAACTCATTTGATACCACCAGATGATGACCACCTATTAAAATAAGATTGATTATCCACAAATTACAGCTTTTTAAAAATATTCTGCCTTCATTTTTTACATTAAAGTGAAACTAGGGATTGGACTTCCCTATTAAGACCAACTGCCCCATTTTATTTATTTTTAAATTTTTGAATAGGTAATATATTTACATGGCTCAAAAGGAAATTAATATTTAAAAGGTATACAGTGAAAAATCTTGCTCACTACCATCTCTCCATCCCACCCATTCCCAACCTCCTTCCCTATCTGTATTATTTTATTTCTGGGTATTTGTGTATAAACACACATAAAAAGCATACACACTTTTCTCCAACATTTCTATTCTGGCTTCTTTTTCACTTAACAATTTGCCATGGAGATCTTTATTTATAAATATGTAGGAAGAATTTTTCATTCTTTTTGGGTGTCTAAAGTAGAATAGAACTCCAAAGATTTAGCTTTCTGATTTTCACAATTCCTGAGAATACTTCAGTCAAAATCAGCATGCATTGGGGATCTTGTTTTTGTGTTTTGTGTTTTGCTTTTCCTTTTAAACTAGGATTTAAAGACAATGTGGGGTTTTTTCTGTTTGTTTGTTTTCTCACTTTAGAAGGTGAAGAATATATGAACTTCTTCGAGGAGTCCTAGTGGAAATGAATCCTCCAGAGATACATGGTCTTCACAGAGAAGACAGTAGGTTTTGATTTATTCACACAACTCTAATTTCTGCCAGAGTTCATAAAGTGCAGGTGGGGCTTAGAAAACAGGGGACCATAATGATGTGACAGCAAGCATATAAGAGCCAAGTATTACTTCAGAGAAAAATGGGTGGTAGGTGACTTACAGAATCAGTTTTATTCTGCCTCCATAGACGAGGAACATCACACACCTGCATAAACATCCCTTTCAGGTTGGCGATCACAACAGCTGCCAAGACCGACTGCCAAGAGAGACAGGGAAGGCTGTGTTATTCGGGGGAAATGGTTTCCATGTGATGATTTTTAAATCTCCTATTATTTCCCCCAGGAGCAGAGTGGTGAAGGGAAACTATGTACTCAGCATACAGAGAAGCAGAGTTACCTTCTGCAAGGGTTCCAGAAGCTTCCCCAGGGCAACAATGGCAACCATCACGATCCCTGCTGAGATGATGCCTGCAACCTGAAAGACACACCTTCATGAAGAGGGCTCATCCTCCTCCCTGTGCCATCCAGCTCACCACATGCTCCGGAGCACACTGAATGTCCTCCACTCTCCCCTTCTGCTCAGCATTGAGAGAAATGAGCATTGTTTGCTGAAAACACACAAAACTGAACAAAAATAGAGTATATAGATACTGTGCAGAGAAATGAAAGAGATTATGAAAACTGAGCCTGCAAAAGTAAGCCCAATTTGACATGGATTTCATCTGGGTTACTACACCTATAATTTTGCTGTCAATTTAGGAAGCCAACCTTCTTGTTATCTGCCATACATGAAACACATACCACCTCCTTCCCCAGCAACAGAGATTACTGTCAGGCTCTTGGGAAATAAGTTCTTATGGTATGCATCTGATTTGTCTGCATTATTGAAGCAGCCATAACTGGGACACTGATGACATGCTGTCCTTAGAGCACATGCTTCCCATGAAAGTCTCAAGAGAAAATAAGTTCACTCATCTTACTGCAAATTCTTGTGCCGCAATGGTGCACTGACAGTTGGGCCTGTGTCTCCTGCTTCCTGCAAGAGTTGCACCAATGCAGGCTCCGGAACTTGCCCCAAGGCAGCTGCAGGAGTACAGGAAGCTCAGAAACTTTACCTGCGCTGGCCCAAGCTCTGCTAAGATCCATAAATAGCTAGGAGAGCGGCAGAGGGGGCAGGGGTGAGTCTCTGGTTTGATCAGATGACCAATGGATTCTCTCTGGAGATAGCTGGAGCATACTGAGGTGAAGACTAGAGGCTCTGAAATGAAGGAGAGAAGGAGACAGAGAACCAGAAGCAAAGCCTTCAGAGAGGAAGCAACAGGGAAGATGACGTTGAGTACAAGTACTGCTAGTGCAAGATGTCTGAGTTAAAGGAAGCAGATATATCAAGGGTAAAAAGGAATTAGGAAACATTCACTCTATCTTGCAAATTGATTATTTATATTCAGGCTATGATGGGGTCAGGCTGGGGCACTATTACGTCTAAGAGGTACTAAAAAGCCCACTTAGGCTGGAGGCATGGTTCCAAAGGTAGAGTGCCTGCCTACCAAGCACAAAGTCCTGAGTTCTAACCCCAGAATTGCCAAAAGAAGAAGAAAAAGAAAAGGGAAAAAACAATTGAAAAGCCCATTTAGTATGTCAAGCTCTTCTCTGTGCTCTCTCTGGCACCACACCTCCAGCTTCCCTACATCTGAGGGAGCTTTCCTCTCTCCTATCTAAGCAGAAAAGATAATATCCTGCTTCTCTCCCTCCTCTATCCTCCCTTTGTTCTTCCCTTCCCTTCCACTTACTTAACTGCCATTTATGAGCCACTTGCATCTTACTGTGGATAAAGGGCTCCATGAGCTGGTGAAAGAAATGGAGATTTGGAGACAAGGACCACAATCAGTTACCAAACCCAAGACAGGACTGTGGTCACCTATTCACCAAGTATATATAAGTGTAAGTCTCCAATTACAGGGGTCAAGGTTAATTTTGGTAACTACATTAAAATCAGGAATCAGTTCATTTTCTGTTTTATTTAAGGCTGGTTTATGGGAAACTATCTATTAGAAGATTCAGTTCCTAGCAAATTAGTTATTGCTAAGTGAAAGGGTTACAGAGCAGCAATCAGAATTTCTTTTTCATGAGTCAGTTGAAGTCAGTTGAGGGTAAGAGAAACAACAGGTAGCAACATTTAGCTCTTCTATATCCCACAGATATCTGAAAATAGTTGATGTCCACCAACTCTCATTCTTCTATTTATTCCTCCAGCAAATACATGCTCAGTGTTTCTTATGTGCCAGCCACAAACTATGTCATCAATACTCAAGATATTGTTCTTGTCTCAAGGGGTGGAACAGTCAGCCTTTATCAATAATGTGCTAGGACTCTGCAAACATTTTTAAATTTAATCCTCACAACATCCCTGTGAGATAGATACAGTTATTATTCCCATTTCATAGATGCTGAAACTGAGGCTCCAACATAACAAAAAACAACACAAGAGAAGACCTGCAAGTTTATTTGGTCAGAGGTCCCTGGATTTCAGTCCAGTCACTTAGACTTTTAACCCTGGAACTTAGTATACATGTCAGTAATTAAATATCAAGCCATTTCTGCACTTGTTTCCTTCAGTGCTGAAATCCTGGCATCCTTCATTCTTAAATATAATGCATGCTAGTGTGTGGCAGAGGAGATCAGTTTACCACAGCACCATTATCCCTGAGCCCTGTGCCAAGCAGGTCACTTTACATGGGCATTCATTCTTACAGGGGCGGCCAGCCCAATGCCTCCATTTGAGCCTGGAGGTAACAGCAGGAGAAGGGACATCAGCCGTTTGTCTGCACCCTCTCAGGACCCTGTGCCCTGAAGAACTGTCAGTGCTCGTCTCTAGGGCAAGAGCCAGAGCTCCCACAGCTTTGGAAATGTGCTTGGCCACAGACCTCTGGTTATGCCACCTGCTACGGGCTGTACTGTTTTACCTGCTCCCTCAGAACTGGAAATGTTTGCAAAATAAAATTTAAGAAAAATCCTAAGAATTAAAATTAAATTTTTGTTTCAAATGAGCCAAGAGATTGGAAGAGGCCATTATAAATAAAAAGGAGCATTACTCATTCTGTGAGCACAGTCGCAGCTCCCCCCGGGCCACCACCACTGGCGTCATTTGTCTTCTCAGTTATTCTCTTATATAGTAAGTGAAATTCTTAATAAAATAAGCCTTAACAAAAGCCTTAACGAAACCCTCGAAGACTGCATGTTTTCTACTAGTTTGGGTTGTTGTTCTCCTCCATAGACTCATCCTACTACCAATAATAGTGTGAAGGAGGCAAAAATCCACCCACACTTAACAGAAGCACAACGTTCCTGCCCCAAGGCCACGGGCTTGACCTATCTGGTTCTGAGTCTGGCTGGAAAGGGAGGCCCTTGAGACCAGTTCCTGAGCTTTCTGACTGATGGGAGGAGGAATTACCAAGAGATTAACTGGCATACTGGTTTTTTGGTCACCTTGTGAAGGCTAAAACCAAAAGCCACATTTAAAAGACAAGATTAAGTCCATATTGAGAACTTCAAAAATCTTACTCAGGAAGAAATTCTAAATGTTACAACAACAACAAAAAAATATTCTTAACTAGCAAAGTGTTGCTCTGTGGGACCAAAGGCTTCTGGATAAAGTTCCTGATCCTTACAAAGGAAGTGTGGAGAGAGTTTTGATTTTCCTCAAAGTATAACTCACAAAGCTATGAAGGGCCATTACCAGGCCCTGGTTCTCCCCAGGTAACAAATTGATAAAAATCAGCATTCTTCATTACTGATTGTCCCTGAAAAGTAGGTAATTGAAGTTATCTGTCAAGTGAGCTGGACACAAAGAGATTTGGGAATTACTGCCTCAGGAAACCATAAATGTTGCCTTTAAAGAGGTTTTGATGAGGGATGAGTCAAAGATGAATAGGCCTAGGTTGGATCACCTGAAGAGGCACAGGCCCTCTCTTCTCAAAGGCTAATTGTCCTGCTTGGTTCTTGTGCAAGTTTTCTGAGCAGCCATTCCCTGGTGTGTCTCTGTGATCCATGTTACCCACTGTTGTTCCATACCTGTGTCTTTCCCCCAGTGCTCTCCTGGACAGCGGTGCGGGATAGCGCAGTGGTGGCCACAAAACAAGAGAAGAATCCTGAGAAGATGTTGCTGATCCCAAAGGCAATGAATTCCTAGGAAAGAGACTGGATGTCAGCAATGACACAAATAGAGTCTGAGAAAGACTACAGAGTAGGTTAAAGGAAACTTTGACACCCACCCTGCCTGATGGTCTGATTTTATTTTTACCGATAAAGGCATTTGATTAACAAAGCATGAGAAATTTGGACTCCACAGAATCTAGGAGAGGTCTTACTGCTATCAGTTGTTTTCAAGGTTGACAAGAAATGAAACTAAGGATCCCTTGCTAAAACTTTTTCACTGTTTTACCTGTCACATCATAGGCATTTTTGTGTGGTTGAATATTTGCTACGAAGCATATTACAACAAGCAGAGCTATTATTCTACCCGATTACTAGTCCTTTAACTGCTGTAATGGCTATGCTGTTTTCAGAAACACACACCTACAAAACTTGCAGATTTGTTTGTAGTTAAAATCAGCTCACCTGGCAATGTATCATATGCCTGTATATGTTAATTGCACAGTGAACTGCATCACAGCTGTTATTAATTATTATTATCACACTGTTTTTATCATATTACAGCTGCCTTTAAAAGCAAATTACCAAACACTGGGTTACTTGAAGAACTCTTATGCTGAGCTAATATGTTAATTTTTATTGTTGGTTATGACCTGACTAAATTAGCTCTTTTCAAGTTAGTGTTACTCATGTTACTTCTTAAAAAGAAAAGTTTTCCAGCACACATGGTTCAAAATAATTTCTAATTACCAAGCAAAGAGGGAAAATAATCTAAAGTAATCTAATAAGAACCCACAGAAGAAACGAACTCTTTCTTTCACTACACCAAAATCTTTCCACTTATGGTTTTCTTTTTTTTTTTTTTTTTTTTTTTGGTTTTCAGCCCTATAAAACCAATTCAGCAAAAGGGCAACCATACCTGATTCCCATCGATGGTATAATCATGTTTGGTGGCATACACTTTTCCTACAGACACTGCAATAGCATAAGCCACCACAGCGATGGAAAACGATGCAGCCAGCATATCAGAAAACAAGCTCACAGGTGGAAGTGTGGGAGGCAAAAACCTAGGGAGGAAACAATGCTGTGAAGACTTGACAACCCTTTTTCCCCACCTCAGCAATGCTGTATCCACTCAGTCACACAGACAGTAAAGGACATGATCCAAGAGAATGAAAAGCAGGTGTATAAATAGTAGCACCTACTTTTACACTTTTTAATCTTACTGGCTGATTTCTTTATTCCCCTATTTGAGAGCCTCTTCTATACCTCTGACATAAATGAATCTGCTGTTACTAATTCTTTTTTTTTTTGGTGGTACTGGAGTTTGAATTCAGGACCTCGAGTTGGGATTTATCAGGACAACTTTCCAGTATTTCAAAGAGTTTAGTTTTAATGCCCACTGCTACCTTGTTGCCCAGTTCTCCAAATATTATGTGATCCTCGACCGACTAACCAGGATTATGTCAAAGCAAAAGACCTCAGTCAATCTGAGAGTAACTGTGTGACTTTATGTTATTTAAATCTCATGAGTGGACCTGTTTGGCCCCAGTCAACCCTGTCTGACCTGATCATAAGATAGTACTACTGAGAACCCAAAGGGAGGGAACATATAAATATACACTTATCTGAAAAGATGAGATAGAGCAGGGTAGGCCCTGAAGGACCAAAGAGCCCATAAGAGACAGTGAGGCATGATCAGCATAACACTAACTGTATGTTTTTAATTCAGGCTGGACACGAACATTTGGTAAATATGCCTCCACTCCAGCTAAAGAGAAGTGGCCTCAGAAAGAAGCCAGGAAAAAAGACCTGTGTGATTTTCATGATCCTCCCTCCCCATGGCACTGTTCTTTGTGCCACACTTTCAAGTATACTGCAAAGCACCCCACCTGAGAACATTGCTCATAAACATGATAACAAAGAGGACCAGTCATTGGGATTCTGAATGAGGCAAGAGAGTTAGTGTACAGATTAAATTCAGAGGACAGAGCAGTCCATCTTGCTATGGGTTAAAACACACATGGACACACACAGACCTACACACTCAGAACCAGGATGACAGACAAGGTGATAAGGATGCCTTGTAGTGATGAGTAAGGAACAGGCCCATTAAAGTTGTGGGCTAAGTTACACAAGAAAGGCAGATTGTGCCTGGCTCACTTAGTGCCTGCTGGCAATGAAAAAGCCAGGGTGAGAGACAGAGGGCTCCTGGAATATTCAGGCCCATTGGACATAGAGAGGTCATGTGTTTTTACCAGAAGGGGAGTAGAGAGGACATAGAGTCACAGTTTTTGGCTGTTCAGTGAGACGATGTTTTGGGAGACTGAGTGATCCTAACATTTGGTCCTTACCCTCAAGGATAAAAGGAAGTTGACGACAGCACCCTGGATGGACAAGTGAAGTAGGGAGGAGATCAAAAGGTGGGAAATCAGGACAAGGCAAGGCAAGACATCTCTATAATCCCAGCCACTTGGGAGTTACAGGTAGAAAGATCATGATCCAAGGCCAGCCTGAGGAAAAACTAAGGCGTGCCTCAAGTGGTAGAGTGCCTGCCTAGCAAGCATGACGTCCTGAGTTCAATCCCCAGTACCATCATCAAAAAAACAAAAACGGCAGGAAATCACAGGCTCTTGTTCCTCTTCCTTCTGTGGCACTCACCTCAGCCACGTGAACACTCTCCTTTCTTCCCTAGTTTCCAATCTCCCTCTGCTGCTCTTTCTCCAATGATGATAATATCATTAGAATTGTTTCTGTGCTATCAGGTCAGATCAGATAACAAAGGCCTTTTTTGTGGCTTGTTTAGAATGACAGGTATAAACAAAGGTATTTTATCCCTTCAACAAATATTTTCTGAGAGCCTACTATGAGGGAGGTGCTGTGTGAGGGCGACAGAGCTGAACCTACACAAATGGGGTCACTACCCTGGGAGCGGGGCGCTTCATAATCCTTGATACAAATTGACTGACCAGGGGACTGTCAGAGAATTCAGTGTAATTAACCCCAAGGGCAGGAGGCTAGAGACCCATGCTCAGGAGGAGAGCAGCAAGAAAGCTCTGCAGAGGGCTGAGAGGACACATAGGGCAGTAAAGGTGAGTTCCCCAGAACAACTGGAACATGGGTGGATGGGCACAGGGTATATATTATGGACCACCTGTAACTTGTACAGGTTAGGAAGCCTGACCAAAGGAATCCTTGAAATCTGTTTTTATGTAATTGTTAATAACTACTCAAATAATGTAATTATTAGGATAAGAACTCCATAACCCAAGTAGCTACATTGCATCTCTTGTCATTTAATTCCTTCCAGTTTTAGAATTCACTACCAAAATGTTATCCCCTAATGTAGAGTTTCCCAAATTTACCTGATCAGAAGACTCACTTGAGGTACTTTTGAAAAATAATAATTCCCAGCCCCCCCTCCTCTGGGAAGCTCAATGGGATAGGTTTGAGGGGGGACCAGGAATCTGTGTTAAAACAGGTCTCATGTGATTCTTGCACAAAGATTCACCTGAGGAACACTGTAATGGGTGATATGTAACCTAAGGCTCATGTAGACAGTTGTCATTTTTCAAATATTTTTTAAACTGACATTAGAATAAATTGTAATATTTACTTAACTGGGAAGATAGACGTTTCCTGTGGAATGAGCACTAGGAAGAAGCTAGCTTGAGAAGCTTCTGTTAAGAGCATGGGAAAACAACTCAAGTTTGCTTGGTGAAATTGAGAAGGGAATCTGCAAGTCTAGTCATAAATGCTATAGGTTGTTAACAAGTGTAATAAACATCTGGGCTTCCTTTTAGGTCCCTAGGATAAAACTATAGTGCAAGGCACTTTGTCCATCCTGTGCACTTTGTGTGTCGGAGGAGGGTGAAGGGGGATTATTGGAGATTGAACCCGTGACTCTACCACTTGACCCATGCCTCTAGTCCTTTTGTTTGTATTTTGCTTTTGAGTTAGGGTCTTGCTAACTTTGCTTGGACTGACCTTGAACTCGACATCCTCCTGCCTCCACCTCCTGAGTAGCTGGGACTACAAGCAAGAGCCAACTGGCCCAGCCCACTCTGTGCATTTTATAAGAACTCTTACTGACATTTTACAAGTTTGAGTTGAGGCATCAACTGCTGTAATTACCCTTGTCTTATAGGAGAACTTCCCCAGGGCCACACAACTAGATAGTGACAGAGGTAGATAAAGGACCTTCTAATTCACCACACTGTAAACTACCTACCAAACCTTAAAGATAATGTAACTTATTTATAGGTACAAATGATATACCTATTACCTATGATTAATTAAACCAAATGGTAGAGAATTTAGGCCAGTTATCCATGAATGCTTAAACAGACTTTTAAAAGAACAATAAATGATACTATGATTGCATTTATGTTATGTTATAATTATACATGTGAGTTTAAATTGGGAATCTGATGTGAAATGTACACATCCCACCACACTTCTAGAAAGTGAAGGAAAATAGCATATGGACTGCTTTTATAGAAAGGGCTTGAACTTTACCTACACACGACTGCTGGTTGGATGCTTTGCATAAATGGGTACTTCAACAAGATCACATGCAAACAGGACTATTGAAGGAGTCCTAGTGAACTGAAACTTGTAATAGGAGCTTTCATTTAAATACAAAATTCTGGCTAGGCACCAGAGGCTCATGCCCGTAATCTTAGCAACTCAGAAGGCAGAGATCAGGAGGACTGTGGTTCGAAGTCAGCCTGGGTAACTAGTTCGAGAGACCCTATCTCAAATAAACCCTTCACAAAAAGGAGGGGGGGTGATGCTGGTGGAATGCCTACACCTTTGTAGCCACTGAGTTCAAACCCCAGTATTGCAAATAAATAAATAAAGTTCTCACTTCATAAATTAGTATTATCTACAAGGAGTACCATACTTACCCTCTTGGGATGGATTTAACAATCCCAGCATTGTATTTTTTTTCCAAGTCAGCTCCATATGAAATGCCAGTGGCAACTATAGTCTAAAATTAAAAAAAAAAAGCTATGAAACAAAAACCCCTAAGCCCCATTTTCATAATTCCTTGCTAGGCTGAATTTTCTACTTACCACAATTACTTCTATAGGAATAGGAATTGGGATTTTGTGTTTAAATCGATCATTCAGTTCCTTAACCGCCATACAGACGATGATGGTGAGTAATGCAGCAATGAAATCTGCAAGGTTGGTCTCTCCAATATTTTGAAAAATCTCAATCAAGGTCTGTAAAGAGAAAACCATTTCATATACCTCCTGCTACATAGACATGCCCAAACACAAAATCAACCCCCTCCCATGGAAAAACTTGTCAGCATCAAATAACACAGGAAAGTCTTACACAAACTATAAAAATGTGTTGGCTAATACAGGGACAATCAACTACAGATGCATTCTCTGCAATATATATATATATATATATATATATATATATATATATATATATATATAGGTGAAACTATAAGTGATTTTTGCATTCTTATATTTGCTTGTGTGTGTGTGTGTGTGTGTGTGTGTGTGTGTCTATGTGTGTGTTTTGGTGGCACTGACATTTGAGCTGAAAGCTTTATGCTTGCAAAGCAAGTGCTTGACCACTTGAGCCACACCTCAACTCCATTTTTGCTCTAGTTATTTTGGAGATTGGGGGGGTGGGTCTTGAAAACTATTTGCCTAGGCTGGCCTTGAACCATGCTCCTTCTAATCTCAGTCTCCCAAGTAGCTAGGATTACAGGTGTGAGCCTCCAGAGCCTAACAAGAATTTCCAAAGGGAATGGCCCTCTAGATCATTCTACAGGTAAACCTACAGTAGACAAAGCCAGCCCATGGTAAGTACCATCACACAGACCAGACTTTTATTTAATTTTTTTTGGTACCTGGGTTTGAACTCAGGGCCTCATGCAAGCTAGACAGCTCTCAACCACTTGAGCCCTGTATTTCTTATAATAAAAAATGAAAAGCATTTCAAAGAAAAAAAATCACTACATACTGTATTTTACTTGCAGAAAAACTTTAAAAAGCTTATATCTTAAAGTGATTTTATAGGTGCTATTAAGTGCCCTAATTTTTACCATGTGTACAGAGTGTTATTGAGATTAAAAGCAGACAAACCCCAAAGTTCCAATTAGCCAGCATCTTAAGTACTGTTTTTCCCTAAATCTAAATGATACAGGTAATATAACAAAAGCCTTCTAAAATACTTTAATATGTAGATAAAATCCATTCTTTAGAGCAAAGAAAAGTTATTGGATTGATATATAGAGCAAGTATACACATTTAGAAATTGATTTGGTGCTTAGCTCAAACTTGAACTAAGATATAACTGAAAATAATTCTTCCCAAGTGAGCAGAGAAGCCAGCTCAAGGAAAACTAGTTTTGTTTTGTAAACATGAGGTTTCTGGGAATCAAAGGTGCTCTTCAAGGAAATTAGTAAGGGAGAATCCCAGGGAAGGACACTAGCTCTTTGTTACATGAGCTTCTGTCCAGCAGAAGTCATGAGTTAAGAAGGCATCTCCCCTACTACCGACGAATGGATCAAGAAAATGTGGTATCTATACACAATGGAATTTTATGCAGCCATGAAGAAGAACGAAATGTTATCATTCGCTGGTAAATGGATGGAATTGGAGAACATCATTCTGAGTGAGGTTAGCCTGGCCCAAAAGACCAAAAATCGTATGTTCTCCCTCATATGCAGACATTAGATCAAGGGCAAACACAACAAGGGGATTGAACTTTGATCACATGATAAAAGCGAGTGCACACAGGGAGATATGAGGATAGGTAAGACACCTAAAAAATTAGCTAGCATTTGTTGCCCTTAATGCAGAGAAACTAAAGCAGATACCTTAAAGCAACTGAGGCCAATAGGAAAAGGGGACCAGGAACTAGAGAAAAGGTTAGATCAAAAAGAATTAACCTAGAAGGTAACACCCACACACAGGAAATCAATGTGAGTCAATGCCCTGTATAGCTATCCTTATCTCAACCAGCAATAACCCTTGTTCCTTCCTATTATTGCTTATACTCTCTCTTCAACAAAATTAGAGATAAGGGCAAAATAGTTTCTGCCGGGTATTGAGGGGGTGGGGGGAAAGGGAGGGGGTGGGGTGGGTGGTAAGGGAGGGGGTGGGGTGGGTGGTAAGGGAGGGGGTGGGGGCATGGGGGAGAAATGACCCAAGCATTGTATACACATATGAACAATAAAAAAAAATTTAAAAAAAAGAAGGCATCTCTCAATTTTTTGAGACCAGTAATCTCCCAGCAAAAGTGACTTTTTTTTTGCATATTTTTATAGAGATGTTTTTGTGTGAGATAAAGGAATGGGGCATCTTAATAGTTTGAAATATGCATATTATTCATTTTTACGGTAAGTAAAATCCTTAAAATAATTATGAGTCTAGTAACTATTACATAATGAACATTAGGTAATGTAAGAGTCACATTGCCAGCAGCCTCACGTCTCTGGAGCACACTCAAGAGTAAGGGAATGAAGAGAGTATTGTGCAAGCAAAATGCATTCTACCAAGGGCTTGGGCATTTAACTTAGAGGAAGCTTCTCGAGGTTTCTCTATGAGGGCATTTTTGCTGTTACCTTAAACACTATACTAACACGCCAACCTTGTCTGCTTTCCAGAATCACTGAAAATTGCTAGAGGCAGAAACACTGACAACAATAAGGTGAAGCAGTGACAGCAGGGTGAAAAAGAAAATGGGAAAATCAGCACAGTAGACACAGGACCAAAACCTCAGGCACCTAACACAGGAGCAGCCCTGTCAGCCACCTGGGAGGCTCTGAGGTGCTCATTGCTATTTGACCCTTTACATAATCAAGTTTCTGACAAGGATCTCATTAATTCATAAACTATTTTGATTCATTGTCTACATAACACAGGTTTACTTTCTAATTCAAGATGGAAAAAATTCAAACTAATGGAGACAAAACATTTGTACTAATTATTCCAATCACAAAAGCATTTTCATCTTACAAAAATCACTATAGGATTCCCATTAAATCTTTGAGAGTCACTTAGTCATTTTTTTTAGTAAAAAAGAACTTGCAATGTATGAAAAAGGTGATAGGAGCTGCAAAAAACCAAAATCAGCTTATATCACACACTACATCTTGCAAAACATGTGAGTTATATATATATCAACTGCTTGCATATTAATCACTCAATCATTCAGGATTTTTTTCCTCTTTTTTTTTTTTTTTTTTGGCAGTACTGTTGGAAGTACTGGGATTTGGACTTAGGGCCTCGCATTTGCAGGTGCTCTACCACTTGAGCCACTATCCCAGAACTTTTTATTTTAGTTGTCTTTAGGATGTTTCAAGTTTCTGCCCCGGCCAGCCTGGACCACTATCCTCCTATTTATGCTTCCCGCATATGTGGGATGACAGGTGTGCACCACTGCACCCAGCCACTGGTTGACATGGGGTCTTGTCAACTTTTTCCCCCAGCTGGCCTTGAACTGTGATCCTTCTGATCTTTGCCTCCTCAGTAACTGGGATTATAGGTGTGAGTCACCAGGTCCAGCACATTCAGGATTTCTTATAAAAATCATACTGTAAAAAGTTTGATCTATGTAGAGATAAATCTCAACCATATAAACTGGAATAGTCAGATTGTCATGAAAGATCTAGAGATGAGATTTTAAGAATGCACTGAACAGTAATTCTAATTTAATTTTCTATTAAAATGCTAAAACATGAATAAATGTGATTTTGCACTTATTCTCAACATAGTTCAAATCATGAAAATGAGCTTTTCAGTTATAGCTAGTATTTTACTCTATTTCCTACTGTAACTGGAAAATTTTAGCATCATTTCATTTGGACAATTATTTTTGCCCAATGTTACCTGAGTGTATGAAGCTATAAGGAAAAAAAACTATTCCCAATATTACATATGAGAAAAGTTACTGGTTAATTTTTGGAGCTGAATTTATTTTAGTTCATCTTATCTCAAAGAATAAAATTAATCCTTCATAATCACCTCTTGCTACCAGGCATTTCCTGCTACAGATATTTTGCATATATCGAGATTCCTGCTCAAAGTGTTACTTTCTTTATTATAATGATGTAACTTTTTCATATCAAAAATAAATTCAAGTAACAAGTCTGATCAAGCTAAACTAGGGCTTTCAAAAGTCTCATCTTTGGGCAGAACTCTTCATTGTGATCTTCCTCATCAAATGAAGTAGAGCAGGTAGCATCAATTTAGTAAAGCAAGCCAAGAGGGCGTCCCTGTCCCTTTCCCTCCCTTCAGAGTGAATGGTACCAAAACAAGCACACCTCAGTGGCTATTTAAGTAGCCGCATGGTAGCATCCAGATTGTTACTAGCTCTAAATTGCCACCAATACCCTGTCCTGATCCCTTCTGCATTCTATATCTGACACCTGTGGTGTTTTTCTATTACCCTAATAGTTCTGTCATCCAATTCTTTGTATTCATTACTTCCAGTCTTACTCTTTGGAGTGGGGCAAACCAAAGTACAACATTATAACAAAAATGGTAACAAATTAAGTATTTTTACAACAATTTTACAATCTTTCCTGGAAGAATCCACTATTGAGCTCATTGAAGGATTCCTTCATAAATGATTGCAATAAGAATGCCAGAGCAAACCTCTCAGTTCAGGGACCTTTGTGCAATAATTTTCAGATCTGCCCATTCTCTCTTTTCAGATTATGAAGCTTACATTTACTACCACATAGGATAATTGGGACACCTTCATCCAACTTGACTGGCTGTGAGGAATTCCCTGCAGACTCCCACAACAGAAGGTTCCCTGATTATAATAAGTATTCCTAGTGCTGTATAGTGTATAGCACCACTGTGGTGTTGCTTGTGGGGACGTCTGAGGTGGAAAGAGTGGGCATATGCAAACTCTGTACTTCCTGCTCAATTTTTCTGTGAGCCTGAAACTTCTCTTAAAAAAAACAATAAAATCCATTTAAAAATTCTAGGTCACTCAGTCCCTGTGAAACAGTCATCATTTGTAGCATGTGTTGGTACTGGGTTGAACTTGCTAGTCAGGAGCTTTTCTACTTAAGCTACAACCCCAGCCCTTTTTGCTGTGTTTTTTCAGGTTTCCCAGGACAATGTTCAGACTATGACCCTCCAAACTATGGCCTCCCAAATAGCTGGGATCACAAGTATGAACCACCATGCAAAGCTTATTAGTTGAGATGGGGGTTTCACTAACTTTTTGCCTGGGCTGGCCTCGAACTGTAATCCTCCTGATCTTCACCTTCCAAGTAGCTGGAATTATAGATGTGAGTCACCATATTTTATGGGCATGTTTCTTCTTAAACATAGTACTAAGAGACCAGAAGAACTATTTCCACTGTTCTGTAGAGATCCAGCCAAAACCCAGGTCAAGTGTTATTCTTAGCCTCCTGTGAGGTTACAGCAATGTTGGCACAAGGAAGTGAGCACTTAGTACGGGATATATTGATGGGTTCAAGAGTCATTGCTTTTGCATAGGGGAGTGAATAGTGGCCTAGTGGTGTATTTATTCAGTAGGTGAAATGAATGCATTTGGAAATGAAACAAAAAATGAGCAGCTGATGGAACGTGAAAGCAAGATGTGTCAGAGATTGCAAAAGTGGCAGAGCCTGCTCAAAGTAAGGACGTCTGAAGGTCTCCAAAATAACTGGCTGGGCATAGGGGTCCATATAGATAACCCATTTTTAGTTTAGTAAATATCCTACAAGCCACATAAATGCATATCTATGTAAGAGCATACAGAATGTCTAGCATTAAAAAAAAACAAAACAGGTTCAGGACAGTGGTTGTCCTCTGAGGGTGGAGGAGAAAAGAGAATGTGATTGAGGAAAAGGATATAGAGTTTCAACTGTACTGGCAATAATTTATTCCTTTAATTATTTTTTTTTGTGGTGCTGAGGATCACACCCAGGGCCTTGCACATGCTAGGCAAGCTCTCTACCACTAAGCCACATTCCCAGCCTCAGTCATTTATTTCTGAGGCTGGTTATGGATACATGGGAATTAACTACAGTAGTCATGGTCTTATTATTAAAAATCTGGAAAAGATCAAAAGCTAGAAAAATCAGATTATCATCTAAATTTTTTTCTAGATTTTTATATGTATGCAACATACATATTTATTATTGTAAAAGTTGGAACATGTTTACTTATCAGTTTTTAATCTTTGTTTTTCTCACTGAAAAAAATGATTTCACATTTCTCCATATTAGTGGTTCAAGGCCAGCCCAAGCAAAAAGTTCATAAGACCCCCATCTCCACCAATAGCTGGAGGGGGGTGGTTCACACCTGTCATCCCAGCTATGCCGGGAGCATAAGTAGGAGAAATGTGGTCCAGGCTACCCGGGACATAAATGTGAGACCCTATTTGAAAAATAATGAAAGCAAGAAGGACTGAGGGTGTGACTCAAGTGATAGAGTGTCTGTCTGCCTGGTAACTACAACGCCCTGAGTTCAAATCCCAATACTGCCAAAAAAATCACCACCAACAACAAAATAAAAAGTCACGACTTCATCAGGGGACAAAAGCAAGAATGACCAAAATAATATTGAATCGTGGACAATCTATGCTAGTGTTTTCTAATAGGCTGGGTCTCTGGGAAGCAAACAGTAAGCTCTGTGAGGTCTGCTCATCTGTATTAATGAAAATCACAACAATAAGCTAAGTCTGACTATGTACCGGCTATTGTGCTTGGTGCTTTGCTCAGTTTTTTTTTGGAAACAGAGTCTCACTATGTAGCCCCAACTAGCCTGGAACTTGCTATGTGGTCCAGGGGTGCCTTGAACTTGAGATCCTCCTGCCTCAGCCTCACTCATGCTGGGATTACAGGCACATGCCATCACGCCTGACACAATTTTCTTTTTTAATCCTAACAACTCTGAGAGGTAGCTACCACTATTACCCCCATTTTACAATCTAGGACACGGAGGTGTAGGGAAATTCATTACAATATAACCAAAATCTCACAGGTAGAAGGTGGTGGAAAGAAGGCTCTAACTCATGTCTGTTGAAGTTCAAATTCTGAGACACCAATTGCCTTTCTCCTCTGACCATTCCCACCACCTGGCATGGTAGCTGGTCTGCAGTAAGCACTTGGTAATATTTGCCGAATGGATCAGTAACGTGGGATTATAGCACTGTTATGAAACTAGTGACAACCTCACTAACTCTTTGGTACGTCTGCATGGCCTCACATTGTTTGGAAAGCTAAAATGTGGGCAGTTAAATGACTCCAAGTCCACCATTAATGCTGGCACATCAGTTTTGCATAGCGTCATCCCCGAGCTAGAGTGACATCATGTTCTTATCAGCATCTTCCAAGCCTCAGTAACATGCTTTATATAGAACATATATTTAGCTCCAAGGACTTCCTAAAATCTAATTAATGTAATCTATATCCTTCTTGTGCATCTCTTTTGCATACTGAATCATCTCTGAATCTAATGTTCCTTTTCATTTATAATTACCAAGACATTTACATTTTGCATTTTATAGACTCATAATTAGAAAGGGCTTGAAGCTGCATCTCCAATCATATTGTTTTAAAAAATAAAAATGAAAAGAAACCTTGAAATAATAATAATTTCTAAATAACGTATTTTTTTGAGACAGGGTCTCACTCTATAGCCCAGTTTGGCCTTGAATTTATAATCCTCCTGCTTCAGCCTCTCAAATGCTGGGATTACAGGTATGTGCCATCATGCCCAGCTTTCAAAATAATAACTTTTTTGGTACTTGCTACCTGCCAATCCTTGGTCCAAGTGCTCCTCAACTATTCTTATTTAAGAATAGAAGGAAGTAGATACTCTTTAACACTCCATTCTGTAGAGAAGGAAAGTCAGGCATGGTAATTTGCTCAGATGGCTAGTATGTAACAGGGGTAAAATCTGAATCCAGGTCCATCCAACTCTAAACTTGAACTTTCAGTCACTACCTTACATGGTCACTTTGTCTCCTTAAGACTAGAATACAAGTTCATTGAATACCAGACTTATCTTTACTTCATTCTACCACTTTGTTTCCACTTATACTTTTTAAGTGCAGTAACTTTTCTGAAACCATTCTAAGCAATGATTTACAAAGCCTGATTCTTCTTTGTGTTACTCCTGATTCTTCTGCTTCTTTTAGGGAATGTTTTCCATGGTTCACAAAGTATATTAGGTGATCATAGATTCTTCAGCTCAAGTTAAAGAGAGAAAGAAGAGTGACTGTTGTAAGAAACAGTACTTACATAGATAATGGAGAGAACACCATTGTAGTTTTTGGTTGAAACATTGAGGACAATCTTCAGCTGTGAGACCAGCACTTGGAAGGCAGCTGCTGTAGTGAATCCACCAATTAAAGGGTCTGCCAAGTACCTCACTATGAATCCAATCTGCAAAGCTCCAAATATCAGCTGGGATAAGAAGAAAAAGGAAAAAAATGAAATGTTTGCCTGACAGAACCAATCTTGAAATATGAACAAATTAAGCTTAATACCAGTCAAAACAGTCATAGGCTTCCTGCAGCACAAAAATGCTTGTAGAAAACAAATACGAATTTCTTAATGGCCTGACTCTCTCCTCTCCTCCATCACTTTAAAAATTTGAAGCCATGTGGAATATAGACCTTGAGGTACTTCTGTATACTTACTAAGAAGAGCAGAAAGTCACTTTCTGATTTTCAGGCCCTACGGCCCTGCTCACCAGATACTGCTCCATTGTGACTCTGCACACTTCCCTTCTGTAGTCCTCAAGTGAATCACTCATGTTATTCTGCTTTTTTTCTGTTTCTGACTTTGATGGTAAGTGAGCTATTTTAGCATCTTACCTAAAACAATGTAATTTAGAATATAACTTTGGAGGTCAGGAAATTACTTTGTTTTGCATAAGATAAATCTTTAAGTCCACATGTTTTTAAATTAATTATTTCAAATAATAATTACATCCATCTATATTTTGCATGTAAGTCCATTACCTGTATGATTCCAACCAAAAGAGTAAGGGTGCTTGCGATCAGTACTCTCTCTGCATCTCTGGCTGTAGTGTCTACCACAGTGGCATTCAATGCAGTTCCATTACTATCAGACACGAGAAAGCGCTCATCAGGCGCCATGCTCAGAACAACAGATCCCACCATTAAACTGACCACAGGGAAAGGTCCTGGGGAAAAAAGGGGACTGTCAACTAACCAAGTATTAATGACAAATATTTTAATCACAAATATTGAAACTCAATATGTCTACATAGGATTAGAAAGATGTGTGAAATAATTAGCTGTGACCAGGAAAATATTGCTTGTACATACACACACACACACACAAAGCTGAAAAGCAGATATCTCAAGGCATTCATGAACCACAAATGGCCAAGAGAGATGGGTAGGTGGGTAATCACAGTATTTGGGATACTTCATGAATCCGAGGGCCCAGGGCCCAACATATTGTTTGTGTGATCCTCAGGTGTAGGGGGCAGAGTGGGAGAAGCTGTCAGACAGAGAGGTTTTCTGGCAGAGTCAATGTATAAATTGAATCCTTACTTGTTCTACCTAATTTTTATTCCATATAATCTCATCTCTAGAGTGTCCAATATCCTCATCTCTGGACCCAAGCACCTTGATAAATATCACAAGTATAGTTTCTCTTTTTTTGCTTTGCAAGACCAAAAAAAACCCACTTTTGAATGTGTAATGCCAGTTGGTAAGATCCTGTGTTTTTAAAAAGTTCTGATTTCTTCCAGCAACTGGTCCAGTCACTACTGATATTTTTACCATGGTAATGGTGATGATCCTACTTTTTGATAATAAAAGGCTTTATAGTTGGGAGGATTCAATGCAAATCCAATAACCTGGGATGTAGAGAACACCAGAGAAAAATCAGCTCTGTGTTCCTTGCCTAGGGAAGCATTTGTCACTGACTGATTCTCCAAGTGAGGAAGTTCTTTCACTCAATATCCTCCTCCTAATCTCCTTCAGACATGGCAGTGAGCTAGATACTGGAGAGATACAACTAAACTCAAGGACGCAGTCTGAGGGTAGAGAGGTGTATTTCTACGAAGAGGACTATCCAGGTAGACATGGCTAGCCAGCAGGTAGTTTTAAGAGCAAAATTATTTCTATTATAAACATCAAAGTTGTATAAAATAACATTAAAACATTCATTTACTAGAACATTCTAGCTAAAGAGAACTTAAGTTTTAGGAATGACAGAATACCTACGATGTGCCATTCCAAGAAGGAAAGGTAAGCTTGGTCTCTAAATTGTTTTGGCAGGATTTGCCAGTCTTGGGGTGGGGGCATGACTCAAGTTGTGGAGCACCTGCCTAGCAAGCGCAAGGCCCTGGGTTCAAACCCCAAGACCACCAAAAAAACATTCCCAGTCTTCTAATATTATTGGTTTCAAATAAGTATGGTCTTTAAGGAAATAATGAATATATATTTGATGAACATAATTTAATAAATTCAAAGTTCCTCTAGTAAAGTAAGTGGGTTCAAAGATCTCATGAAGATTTTTTTTCTATTATTGTACATTTTGGAAGAGAACACCAGTCAACTTTATTATACTATCAAAATTCAAAATATGCTAAAAATCTAAAGTAGGTTTTCATTGTCAGTCTTCCAATTTTATTCTCTTTATGAAAACAAAGTTATGTATAAAGCTAACCAACATCATTCAATAGCCAAAAATAGGAAAAACACTGAAACCCGCTTTCCCAGGAAAGTGTTAACAAAGATACGGCAGAATGGAGCATATACTCCAGACAAAACTCTTTAAACATAAACAAAGCTAACTGTAAAATACACTCGTGATTACCAACGGAGATGTGCCTCGATGTTCCAAAGATAAAGTATGTCAGGATAGGAAAGAAGGCGGAGTAGAGACCATATCCAACAGGAACGGAAGCTAGCAGCGCATACGCCATCCCTAAAAGGACAACCAAAACAGATTCACAAACAAAAGTTATAGCACACTTACACTGTACAGAGAAAGGCCTTGATTTAGGGACTTAACACATCAGTCTGTTCCAAGTGGTTTTCTTTTTTGTGTGTATGTGTGGTTCTAGGATTTGAATATGGGGCCTCAGGCTTGCTAGGCAGATAAACACTCTACTGTTTGAGCCACATCCCAGCCCTAGTTTTCTCATTTTGCATACACTGTGGTGGTGTTAGGGTATAGAACATGGTTTAGCCAGCAGGGATAATGATTGCTTCTACTAGCATCACCTGCTCAAATGAACTGCAGTAATTGATTTTCAGTGGGAAAAACAATCAAGTCAGTTGTTGATTACAAACCTGGTTAAGACCAGTTTTGCATGTGGACAGTTTTGTTTGAGCTCAGTGTTCCCCAATGTTCTGAGGGACTCAAAAAAGACATTGTTTCTCTTGCCTTTCCTTTCTTGTTGGGGAACAGAAGTTAGATATAAACAAGAAAAAAAATATGGCAATTGTACTTAGCAACAGGCAAGACAAACTCTCTGCCCTGGTAAAGGAGAACAACTCTACTGTAAGTAAGCCATACCAGTAGGCCTCAGGGCTGTGAATGTCAGGCTAGAGAAATCAACACTGCAGTGGACTTGGAGTTGGAAGAAGATAATGAGAATAAAGACACATTATTTCTTGGTGAAATACTTACGTAGTCAGTGCATCTTACTTACTCCATCCTACCTCCCACACTTCACTCTCATGAGAGAAAATGAAGCTGTTTGATCCTTGAGTCATTATGAAGGACTAGATTTATAACAAGTTTTAAAAAGTGGTAACAACCCAAATGACCTGGTCTACAGGCACTCAAAATTATTTATTTATGACTATCCCTCAAAAGGAAAGTGGTTAGGTAAATTATACTTCATATATTATAATTCTATGTTGCTGAGATTCTCTTGGTGTGTGTAATTCTATAAATACAATTTATGTTATGTATAGAAGCACACTAACATGGAGAAATATGAAATAATTTTTTAAAGTGAGAAAACAAAGATTAAAAACTGAAAAGCATACATGCTCCCACTCTTATAAAAGTAAACTTGTATGTTGCATATATTCTTAAATCTGGAAAAAATATAATATAATAATCTAATCTTTGTGGATTTTTAATCTTTTCCAGATTTTTAATGTACAAAAAGACAATGAATAATATAGTAAATTCCCATGTATCTACAATCCAGCCTCAGAAATAAATGATTGGGGTTGGGAATGTGGCTCAGTGGTAGAGAGCTTGCCTAGCATGTACAAGGTCCTAAGTTTGATCCTCAGCACTGCAAAAAAAAAAAAGAATTAAAGGAATAGAGGAATAAAATTTAAAGGAATAAAGTTAAAACTTGGTATCCTTTTCCTCAATCACATCCTCTTTCCTCCTTCACATTCAGAAGACACCACTGTCCTGAACTTGGTACTTTTTATTCCTAGACATTGTGTGTGTGTGTGTGTATATATATATATATATATATATATATGTAATTTTTTTCCAGTAGGAAAAACAATCAAGTTGTATATATATATGCATTTATGTGTTTAGTAGGACATTTACTTAACTATGAATGGGTTACTATATGGTAGGATCAACCAAGACTTTCAGTTTGTAAAGAAGATTTTTTTTCTTCATGTTCCTTATATGTGTTTTCCAGTTTTCTAGTATGAACATTCATTCACTCAACTACTATTGATTATGCCTCTACCTTGTGCCAGTTACTGTTAAAGTCTCTGTCCTAGATTTTGCATTCTAGAAAAAATACGTATTATTGGTGCAATTGCTTACTATGTGAATTACAACAGGAGTTGTAATAGTCAGTAGTCTTAATAAGTTGGAATAGAATTAAAAGGTGGATTCACAAAGGGAAGACAAGAAAGAAGAAGCAGGGATGAAAGCACAATCTATTTATTTCCTATGGCAATTTTTCAAGATCTGCTCAAGCTTCCAGTTCCCTAATCTGGGCTTTTCAGGTTTTGTTTTACCCTGTCCCTGCTCCTTCAGCATTTCATATGCCAGGAAAATGGGGACATTTTCCATTTTCATGTAGCGTCTCTCTAGTGACAACTGCTACTCAGGTGCATGGTCATCATCTTTATTACAAAGGAATTGGTACAATAATTTTGAAATTAAACAGATTGTAAAGAAACCTAGACCACTGACTTAAATTATGTAATCTCTGTGTTATCATCTGTGATGCATAGGCTGGTGGATTGTACTGGTAAATCAGTGCTGATAAATATTTAAAAACATCCACAAGGCAAGACCTCTCACCATGAGGACACAAGAAGACGGGCCCTGAATCTGTAGGCACCTACATGTTAGACTCACAAGCTTCAAGAACCATGAGGAATAAATGTCTGTTGATTATTGAATAAGTAAGTGAAAAAATAAATGCCCAAGACAGAAAGTAGACAGCAGACTCCCCATAGCTGTGAGTAAAGATGAGCACTAACAGTGTTGCATAGATCTTTCGCTACCTAACAGGAATTTTTTATTTTAATAGCAAAAATCAAAAAGGCTCCATGACCCTGAGTAGCTCCCTGGCTTCTCAGCAATGTGAGCCTGTCACTTCTGATGAATTTCCCACTGCTCCCCAGTGCCTGGCCAGTGAGATGGTCATGGAACCTGATATCACTGGGAATGGCAGTATTTCCTGTGCCTCCTTCTCTCCAACAGGTCCTCAGAGACCTCCAGCCCACCACTCCAGAATCCTTACTGCAGCATTTCTTCACCCTTCTAAGGCTTCTAGTACTAACTAATCCACTCTCTCCAGATGGTTAGCACCATCCTGTCCTTACTTCCAGCACACTCCATGGAATTGCACAAATACTCCCTTGCTTCTCCCCCATTCCTCCTTCCTTTTACTGCTAAAAGCCCAATCTGGTTAAACCCAAACATCCACTTTTTTCATGACAGCCTTCAAGCAGCTAGACAAACTGCACATGTAGAATTCATAAGAGATATTCTCAGGATACTTTTCATTCAAGCTCCAAGCCCCTGTGCACCTGTACCATTTGGCTTCCTTTGACAATGGAGGGAACCTCCTTGTCGTCTTCAAGGAGTAATCCTCCCACTCTGTCAGGACCCGTCCACACTGCCCCTTTTCATGACTTTGCTTCTAGTAGTTTCTCCTCTACCTCTTGGAGCACAGGTTACCTCTTTCCCTCTACTAGGTTATTCCTACCAGTTCATAAATATGCTTTACCAGCTCCTGTATTAAAAGAAAAACTTTGCTCTACCTTCATCCTTTATCTCCCTCCAACCCACAGTAGAACTTCTTAAAAGCAGTCTGTGAACTGCCACCATTCTCTACCCTTTATCTGCTCCTCTTTTTTTTTTAATTGTTTTAATTTCTCTCTTGGCTTCCAATCTCTCATTCCTCTGTTTGTTCCTTTTCTCCAACTTCTTGAGTCTTTGTCAGGCTCTTTGTTGCTTCTTCCTCATCTTCCTAACCTCTAACTATGCTAGCCTTCTTTTCTTCCCCATCTGCCCTTTCCTCCTAGCTGGTCACAGGCATTCCCACTCTTTCATTTCATTTATTTATTTACTTAGTGGCGTGAGGGTTGAATCCAAGTCTTTTTACATGCCAGACAAGCGCTCTACCATCAAGCGACATGGCAGCCCTTGAATTTTTGGGACAGGTCTCTCTATATAGCTCTAGCTGGCCTGGAACTCATGATCCCACTGTCTCCGTCTCCCATGTGCCCAGCTCCTATTCTTTTAAATTATTACCTCTAAAGTAGTGCTTTCCTGATTTTTACGTCTAGTCCAAAGTTTTCCTCTAACCTTCACATAGTACTAGCTCCCCCTTTTGTTTGGCATCTCCAATTAGATGCCTCACATGCATCTTAAACTCAGCATGTCCAAAAGGAAACCCTTGATTTTTCATCCCAAACCTGCTCTGCAGCCAGTGTTGGCCATTTTAACAAATGACACCATCATCTCCCTACTTGCATAAGCCAACACCATAGAGCAGTTTGTGGATTTCATTTGCATTCACCAGTATATATTGGTGATTCTTGACGCAAAATGTATTTTACATAGGTCTCTCCGTGTCCTGCCTGTCTAGTTCAAACTGACATACCTGTCCTCAGGGCTGGGTTTAGGGTTTAGGGTGAGGCAAGTGAGGTGCCTAGGGTACAGAATTTAAATACACCCACCCCCACACCAAGAGTGAGTTGCTCATCCTCTCCTGGGCCTTGCCTAACTTTATCACATATCTCATCGTTACCTACCCTCCCCAACTGCTCTCCACCCACACTGGAATTCTTCCTGTTCCTCCCTGGAAAATACTAAGCAGTTTTCTTCCTCAGGGCCTTTGCACCTTAACCAGATCCTCTTCTTGTGGCTTGTCACATGTCTCCTTCTCATCCTTTGATCTCTGTCTGAATCTTACCTCCTCAGTAAGGAATTCCTTGACCATTGTATATAAAATAGACCTTCCTTCCCAAGTTAATTTCTATTATGGCACATTTAATCCATCACAATGAATATCACAATCTATAGTTGTTTTTCTATTTATATACTTATTTAATTCCCATCTCTACCACTGGAAGTGGGCTTCATGAGCTCAGTATCTGTGCCTATTAGTAAATTACTGAGTCCTCATGGCTGAATACCTGGCCTACAGATTTACTTCATAAATATTTATTACATGGATAAATGATAAACAAATATATGTATGAGTCAGATTAACTTTCCAGGAACTCAGCTTACAAAGATAACTTTATAGGGATCTGTTTCTGGAAAAACATACTACCTATAAAGCAAGGAACTACATACAGTACACAAGTTATGATTGTAGGAATTAGACTCTGGCTTCAATCCCTCCTCCACCACTTGCCAGCTCTGTGACCTTGGGCTAGATTTAATAGATTTCTCATCTATTGAAACAGAAATCATAATAACACCTCCCTTACAGGGTTGGTGTGAGGATTAAACAACTGGCCAAAGTCCTTCCTGTTTGAACATATTAAACAAAGTTAATCTTTATAATGTACTTATCTATGAAAAGTGGAGGGGGGCTAGAGCTTGAAATACCATTTTTCCTATATAAAGATGATTCAGTACAGGAATTAAAGTCAGTCCTCTTTACTAAATATTTATGGAGTCATACATTATGTGCCGATCCCTGCCACATGAACATGAGTCAGACATGGCTCCTGACCCCAGGAGCCCAGGGTGCTGCCATGTTCATGACTGTTCTCGAGACCTGTTGCATTGCTCCTAGACCCATCCTGCTCGCTCAACTGCACCTGTAGGATCCAGATGTGTTGGTTCCAACTGAGGCGCATGTTAGTGCTACAGAACATCCTTCTTCTCTGTGGGCATCTACCTGGTCTGGTCTGAGTAATCTGGGGAGGTTTTTAGCCCACAATATTGCTCAATATTTATTACTAACTTCTGAAGTAGTCCAGTTTCAAACCATCTTTCTACACATATCCACACCTTACACGACTTCCCATCACTTGGCAAATTCAGACTTAACCTTCAGGGAAACTCAGCTTTGACAACTCAACTTTCAGGAAGCTTTTCCACTCTCCTGACTAGGTACAGCACTTTTCATTGGCACTTCCTTAGCAGGGGACATTACTCTGCTACAGCCCTTAGCACACTGAATTTTAAGCATCTATTTCTCCACCAGACTGTGACCCCTTGAAAGTAGGTAGTGCATCTTATTCTTGACAGCATACCTAGTACCTGCCATGTACTAGGTGCACCTTAAAATCCTAATAAATAGTCCAGGTGCCAGTGGCTCATGCCTGTAATCCTAGCTACTTGGGGACAGAGATCAGGAGGATCTCGGTTCAAAGCCAGCCCAGGCAAATAATTTATGAGACCCTATCTCAAAAATAACCAACACAAAAAAGGGATGGCAGAGTGGCTCAAGTGGTAGAGTGCCTGCCTAGCAAGTGTGAGACCCTGAGTTCAAACCCCGGTACCACCAAAAAATTATAATAAATAAATGAGATTTGTTTTCATGGTTTGGAAGCTTTTAGGGAACTAGGCAGGTTAGTAGAGAATGAAAAAACAAGATGGTGAGGATGAGGGACAGAGGAGGGTGCCCTTACTGCAACATATCAACAGTGCAGAAGATTTCTAATATGCTCATGGAAACATTACGAAAGAAACTCACTTTCTAAAATAAAAACAAAACCCCAGAGACATTTTCCAAGAAGATTAAGATAAGAGGATGAATGAAGGCAGGGGATGAAAAAGAATGGGGTGAAAAAATACTAATGTATAGTCCAGGCTAAGACACTTTCTTCACTGATCTTTAAACTAGCTCCACACTGAAGGTCAAGATCTATGTGTCGAATGTAAAATAATTTAATGAGTTGAAATGATCATTTTTTTTAAAAAAATAAGCCAAATAGAAGAGGATAGAAAATATCAGAGTCTACCACTTATAGTTAGGATAAATATTATTTCAAAAAACTTCAGCTTCATGTGTACAGATCATGATGTAACACATATTTCTTACTATGAATAGTTGCCAGTAAGTTTGGGGAGCTACTGCTTGATATATGCGTCTAAATTGAAGCCACACAGTTACAGAAGCAGCAATGTTCCTTGGGAAGAGACTATATGGAAGAGAAAAGAGGTGGATCTCTCTAAGTGACCCTAGAGGAATGATGAAGGCCTTGAAGGGTGAGCAAGTAGTTGGTACAGACCCATGGGGGAGTTATGAACTCTCAGTCATTCAAGACCCAATCCACCGTCTTACCTTGCAACGTGCCCACTAGCCCAGTACTAACTCCTGAAATAATGTCACTAAGCAGCCATTCCTTGACTCGGTATTTCGGAAGCCAGTCCAGGATGGGCAGGAGAATCTTCAGTACACCAAGGGCTCTCTTCCTTGAACAACTGTCAAAAAGCAAGAAAACTGGATTTCCAATCCAATTTTGATTATCAATTACATAGTTATAAACTGATTTTTATGAGAATTTCATGAAAAACATTAACACTGAAGTGCTTCCCATGCTTTTACCAAGAATTGTAGCTATACTTTTAAATGCACTGTCCGAGGAAGGGCAGGATTAAGTGTCCATCCCCTCTTCCACCTTTTCAATTCTCTGAGAGAATACTTCTAAACAAGAACCCATTTTCTAGCCCAGACAGAGAGTGATCAATGTGGAGTCTCTGAGTGGAGATTAATTTTTAGACTTCTAACCCTGGCACCACCTTCTTTTCTTTAAAGAAAAATAGACACACTGTATATTTTGGCAATACAAGCTTGGAGCTAGATTTTTGTAGATTTTACAAAAGTCTTAACATGTTAACTATATAGCTTGCACCTCGCTACTAAGCAATTTTAAATTCAATAACCTCTAGATAAAAGAAATTATCAACAAAGGTGTATATCACTTGAGTCCTGATTCTTAAATGTTTTCTTTAAATTATGACATTTATGAGAAATGTTAATGATGACTCAATTTTTAACATTATGGAATCATTTTTAGGTGAATAACAAAATGTGGTTGTATTTTTAAAAAGACTCTTTAGAGATCCACACTAAAAGATATATAGACATAGATATATAGATAAAGATATATAGATATAGTTATATAGATAAAGATATATAGATATGAGATGGGCCCGCTTCATCCATGCCGTATCTCTGGATTCAGTCAACTGCAGATAAAAAACAATCAGGACAAAATGTTGTGTCTGTACTGAACGTGTTCAGATTTTTCCTGTCATTATTTCCTAAACAATACAGTATAACAGCTAATTATACAGCGTTTATGTGTATTGGATGTCACACAGATGCTTAAACTCTACAGGGTGGCATGCATAGATTATAGGCAAATACTACTATGCCATTTTCTATAGGGGACTTGAGCATCTTTGAATTTTGGTATCTGCAGGGTCCTGGAACCAATCCTCATGGATACCAAGGGATAACTACAACAGGTGAAAGATCCACTGTATGGGACTTGCTTCAAAGTAATACAGGAGTGACAAGTGGGTGGCAGTGAAGGAGACAATATTAACTGTTGAAGCTGGTCATGAGTAAGAAATTAGGGTGGTTATTATGTTACCATGTCTACTTTTGTATATATTATATATATCATGCTGGATAATAAAAGGGTGTTTTTTAAAGTTGACAATTAGTTGACTTTCATAAGATCTTTATGTTTGTGGTACCTACTTCTGGGTGGCACATTTGGGTTTAGAGACATATTGGGTTTCCTTAGGGGCCCCACTGCCTCCTGGTGAACACATGGAGCTTATGGCTCTCTTGTTCTCTAGCTTTCATTCTAGGCAGCTAACTACTATCGTGGTAACGCCAACTATACTATCCGCCTACATTGGCTTGAAGCTTTTAAGGACTCCCGTCCAGGTGGTGCGTTTTATCCATCTTCTCTTTGAACCACTCTTTATAACCCTCTTCCTCAGTCTGACCTTCACAAGAAGAAAGTAGAGACGCAGAGAAATTAGAGTACCCTAAGGTGAACAACAGGTCTCATCAAGAAAGGAAAAAGCTAGATGGGGAAGAGGGGCTCGGGGACCCACTCTCCCCAAAGGTGAGTTTCCCAGACAAAAAAGTTATAGTGATTCTGGCCGGAGATTGATGGAGCCACCCTCGAAGCTGGAAGCGGGGCGTCGCGGTGTCAGAGGCAGCCAGCATCCCGGTGCCGAGCGCCGTGGGCACTACCTGCAGCTCTTGACCAGGCGCTCCCGCAGCGTCTTGCGCTCTTGCAGGCGCCGCTCCTGCTGCTGCTGTAAGGCGAGCTCGGTGTAGACTGGCCGCGACACCACGTAGCTACAGCTGTACTCTGGAAGCTGCGGCGGCTCCGACCTGCCGCCCGGCGTTGCCATGACCTGCGAACCCGAGGAGCACCAGGAGGTGGAGGTGAGACCAGGGAAGACGATCGGAGGTGAAGAGCAGGACGCAGAGGCTGTGAGCCACCTGTTGCCTGTCGACCCTGGCGAGCCTGGTTCGCCTCCTGCTGTCCTCACGCCCTCACGGTGGTGCGCACTTGCAGGGGGTACCTGAGGACCTTCGGGCCCCATGACCTGCCCCTGCTCCCCGGAACCCTCCTACTCTCAAGGCAGTGAGCCTCGCTTTGGGGCTTCAGGAGCTGGACCCGGCCTCCTCGGTGGGCAGCCAGGGCGCTGTCCGCGTCCTGAAATCTCCCTGGCACAGGGCTGGGGCAGGGGATCGGGGTGCTTGCGCGTGCGGGGCGGGGGGTGGGGGTGGGGAAAATCGCGTCCCTCCTTCCAATCACGCGCACTGGGACAGGTGCACAGTTCCCGGGCGGGACGCGGGACCCTCAGGGCGAGCTCCTGGGGTCCGCAGGTTGCGTTCGCCGGAGGCAAATTCCAGCAACAGGTCGGAACTCTCTTGAGGCTAATGGAGCGGTCTCCCTAGTCCTGGACCCGAGCCTTCTCCTCTCAGCGTCTCGGACAGGTCCCATCCCCGCAGAGTTATGAGGGAGGGAGTGGCGGAGTGCGCCGCATCTTCAGCTGTGAACTCACCTGCTCCGCTCGCGCGCTCCGCCCGGAATGCCCTGGGGACAGCCGGTCCGCTGCCTTTATACTGCTCGCTTGCAGCAGGCAGTGAGGCTCTTATTTATGGAGCAACAGAGACACCTTGGTCTAGAGGAAGGACGCACAGTGACTGCGCTCTTTCCCCACGGATCCTGCCGGGAAAGAAATCCTACCCTTCTCTCGCTCTTTCGTTTTCCCGAACGCGGGAGGACCACCCGGATCCTTCACTCATCCCCTAACTTCTTAAGCCAGCTTCGAGGTCACGGGCGGGTCAGTCCCTGTGGGATTCGTTTCCGGATAGCAGCGCTGGCTTACGTGGGAGCACTGACTTTGACTCCTCGGTTATGTGAATTTGGAAGCTCTAGCACAGGTGCCCTCATAACCAGGTGGGGAGGAGGAGGGTCGCAGTAGTTGGATTTGTATGTTAATAAAGCTTTGGGTTTCTAGAAAGCCTTTTAGGAGTACTCAGCGGGTGGTGGTTTATAGAGAACACAGTTTACTCATGGATTTTAGATACATATTCTGTAAACTTTTGTGTGCCTGGGTGTTCTATTTCACAGTCAAAAGCAAGTGTTGGTTCTTTATTTCTTCTCATTGGTCTGGACAGTCAGGAGGTAATAATCAAGACTAGAAGAGGGTGGGGAGTCAGAGCTATATTATCTAATCAGTGTTTTGTCTTCTGTTGGGATGGATGAAACTTGCTAAAACTCATGCGTAGTTAAGGTAGAGGGCAGAAGGAAAGGTTTGCTAAACCAGAACATTCTCACCTCATTATCAGTGTTCTGCAATAAATGCAGAAGCAGCTCCAAAATACGGACTTTTTGGACACCAACCTTCAGTTGCTTAGAAAGAGAGAACATGACAATTGTATAGAAGCTCCGGGAAACAAAGCCACTCAGAGCACCTTAGTGTAAATCCCCTAGTCAGTGTGGTGCAAGCATGTGTGTTTTTCTGAGGAATGAATGAGTCAACAGCTTTCAACAGATTTTCAAAGGCATACTTGACCCAAAGAGGTCAAGAACCAGCCAGGCATGGTGGCATATGCCTATAGTCTTATGTACTTGGGAGGCTGAGGTGGATCACTTGAGAGAGAGAGAGAGAGAGAGAGAGAGAGAATTTAGGTTCTGAACTTTAGAATTCTTATATTCTTATCCACTTGCAGAGAAGAAGAGAAGGATCTGTTGTGCATATTGTGTTTGTAAGTACCAGTGGATCTTAACTAAGGGTTATTTTGTCTTCTACCTGGGGCAATGTCTGGAGACATTTTTGGTTGTCACAACTGGATGGATACTACTGAAATCTAGTGGATAGAGGTAGAGGTCAGGGAATGCTGCTAAGCATTCTACAATGGAGTTATCCACCTTTAAGGTTTTCGTGTGATTCAAATGTATATTTATTAAGAACCATGTGTACTAAACATATACATCTTTCTATGTACCCATATGTATGTGTTTGTGTGCATTTTTTACAAGCAGCATATTGTTGTTGGATGTAGAACTCAACTCCACTCAAAAACAAAAGACAGGAAGGTAAAACAGTCCAGTCTGAGGACTGGTACCAGCAGAATGGGGGAGGGACAGAATGAAAAGGTGAAGGAGGGTGAATATGGTAGAAATATTATGTACTCATGTATGAGTATGGAAAAATGAAACCTTTTAAAACTATTCTAAGAAGTTGCAGAGGTGGGATAAAAGAGAATGGCAAAGTGGGTGAATTTAACTTGATATATTGTAAGCCAATATATGTAGCAATGTCACAATGTACCCTAATACAATAATAATATGATAATAAAAATAAATTTAAATTTAAAAAATAAAAAACTCAATTCCATGGAAGTAAGGCCATATTTATTTTAAAGTAGATTCTGTACTCACTTTATACACCCTGATAGATACATTCAATGTCCAGTTGAATTGCTGCTTGTCCCAAGAACACTCCTTGATGCTCTCAGAATTAATCCAGTCAGAATTAATCCAATCCCTTTTCTGGATTTTCTTGGTACCATATCTGATCCTCTCTTAAGTACTGCTCACGATCTAACTTAGTACCCTAGTTTCATTTACAAATAAGTCTTATCTCCCTCACTAAACAAAAACTTCTTGATGGAAAGCAATATATCTTCCTCCAACCATTATTATCTTCAATCATGTTTTCTAAACAGACATATCCATAGCATAAACATGTTTTAAGAACTAAAAATTATATTATATATTTGCCTATCACTTTCTTCAGTTAAGACTATGTATGATATGGATATATTTACAGGTAAGTATATGTGGACTTTTCTTAACCTTTGTCAACCAACAGCTGCCTAGGATTCCAAAATATCAACTCAAATCATAGTTCTACAATAACTTACCTAGATGACTCACAACTATAATTAATGTGGAGGCAGTCTGTGCAAATGTAACCCATACCCACTCTGATAAAGATTTTGTTTCCTGTTATTTTCTATTTTGAACACTTTTAGTCTGGTCCAATAAGCCTTGTTGACCACTTTGCATCAGAACTTGGCAGTGACTTGGTGGTGATGGTGATTGAGAAAATTAAGGAGTGGAGTAGAGGTAGCAGAAGGACAGCAAGAAAATAGACTACTGAAAATACCAGGAGTCCACAGTGCAACTTTTCTTGGAGAACACAATTCTTTGAAATGCATGTTTTTGTATAATTTGGTTCAATTTAACATGTTCTGCATGAAGATACTGCTTTTTTTTCCTGTGAAAAGCTTTTTCTATAGCAAAAATAAATGTTCATGGACAGACTAGCATCTCCATTACAGAATTCTGTAATTAGAGAACTATTTTTCTCATAGGTAAAAGACAATCTGAATTTAGCTGTCTTTTAAAAACGGAGAAGAGTAGGAGGTGATAACAGCTTGCTCTCCCCACCCAATTTACTTGTTATATTAAACATCTCAGATTACTCACTTAGGTTTATACATCAAGCTTCATCTGTTCCACATACAAGTGGGTGGCTCTTATTTATCAGAGTTTAATCATATCTAGGACTTCTTTCTAAAGAGATAGATGTGTCACTTCAAAATAAATGTCAAGACAGTAATATTGTTACTTTACAATACTTGATTTAAAAGGCATTTTTTTGGCTGTACATAGGGGTTCATGCTTGCAAACCTAGCTACATAGGAGGCAGAGATTGGAAAGATCAAGGTTCAAGGCCAGCCTGAGCAAAATGTTTCCAAGATCCCATCTCAACCAATAAAAACACTGAGCATGGTTGCATGCATCTGAAAATCCCAGTTCCACAGGAAGCATAAATAGGAGGTTAGTGGTCCAGACTAGTTGGAGAATAAAGTGAGAACTTATCTAAAAAAATAAGCAAAGTAAAAAGGGTTGCAGGGATGGCTTCAGTGGTAGAGTATCTGTCTAGCAAGTACATGGTCCTGAGTTCAAACCCTGGTACTGCCAAAAAAGACTTTTTTTCTTTTGGTGGTACTGGGGTTTGAACACTAGACCTCATGCTTGCTAAGCAGTCACACCTCCACTTGAATCATTACCAGCTCTTTTTTTGTGTGTGTGTTGGGTATTTTTGAGCTAGGATCTCAGGAACTATTTGCCTGGGCTGGCCTGAATTTTGATGCCCCTGATCTCTGCCTCCTGAGTAGCTAGGACTACAGGTGTGAGCCACTGGCTCCTGGTGCCCCTCCCCCCAAAAAAAAATCTTAAAGATTTTTTTTCATCTATCACTTAGGCATTTGGATGTGAGACCACTCCCTTGTTAGAGCTACATAGTCATTCATTTGGGATTTATTAAGAGTTTATTTGTGTTGGCATGGACACAATGGTGACAAACATGTGCATCCTGGTCTCATATCTGTAAGTGCAATAGACATTCATCAAATAGTCACAGAACATCTAATTTCACTGATTCAAAAATGCACGTTCTAGCTGAGTGAATCTCAATCAATAAGTCTGGTGTGGTGGCACACAACAGTGATTCCAGCTCTGCAAGAGACTGTAGGTAGGAGGATCACTGCCTGAGTCTGCCCCAGGCAAAAATGCAAGACCCTGCCTGAAAAATGACTAAAGAGGAAATGAGCTGGCAGAGCAACAGTGGCACATGCCTGTAATCATAGCTACTCAGGAGACAGAGATCAGGACGATCGTGGTTTGAAGCCAGCCCAGGCAAATAGTTCAAGAGAACCTATATCGAAAAAACCCATCACAAGAAAGGGCTGGTGGAGTGACAAAAAGTGTAGGCCCTGAGTTCAAACTCCAGTACTGAGAAAAAAAAAATCTAGGGATGTGGTTCAAGTGATAGAGATACAAAAAAAAAAAAAAAATCACACCTTTTAGCAGGATGTAGTGGTG